AACAAACATTAATTAAGCATTCACTTTATGCCAGACACTGTGCTAGGTATGGGGGATAAAAATACAAAAAAAAATGAAGCAATTCCTATTCTCAAGGAGCTTATAATTTAATGGTGGAAACAAAATGTGCATATGTAATATTATCTAGAACAAAAATGAAATAAATACAAGGAAGTTAGGGATAGAAGCAGTAGCAATTAAAGAGGTAGAGGGGAGGGCTTTCTGTAGAAGGTTTCTGAGCTATGCCTAGAAAGAAAAAGGTATTCTGTGGGGTGTAAGTGAGAGGGAAATTTGGTCCAGGCATGGGAGACAGATAATACAAAGGCACAGAAATGAAAGATTGAGTGCTATATTATGGAAAAGAGATGATGCCTTGGGTGTAGGATTGGAAGTAATATATAATGAGACTAGAAATTAGCATAGGACCAAGTTTTAAAGAGCTTTAAAAGTCAAATGGATAATCCTAACATCCTAGAAGCAATAGGAAGCCATTGATTTTACTGAATAGAGAGGGTGACATAATCAGATATGAAAAGGGATAAGACTTTTTACTGAGCTTCCTTTCTTCTGTCCTTTTCATCTCAAAACTCTTTAACATTGTACCTCATTCATTCTTCTTTTCCTTCTATCTCTGAAAATAATGAATTCATTTTCCTTACTGAGAGCAACCGTTTTACATGGGTCCTTCAAAATCCCAACCCCTTCTGTCTTCAATAGCTCTAGCATTCCCTCAGTGCCTGAAAAATGTTGAGGAGTGGAGGGATTTGAAGTTGTGATAAGGGTGAATTTAAGAGGGTAAGCCATAAGAAGAGATGGGAAAGAAGGGGAAAGGAATAGCATTTAATATATCATCTACTATGTGTCAGGCCCTATGCTAAGTGACTGTTATAAATATTATCTCATTTGATCTTTGCAATAACCCTGCAAGATAAGAACTATTATCCTCATTTCACACTTAAGGAAACTGAGGCAGAAAGAAGATAAGTGATTTTCCCAAGGTCACACAGCTAATAAGTGTCTGAGGCTAGATTTGAACTCAGGTTTTCCTGACTCCAAGACCCCTGTGCTCTATCTACTGTATACCAGCTGCCTCTGGAAAGACAGAAAGTTATGGTCAGATAGAGGAATGTCAGATATTTTTACTACGAAAGTGAGATACTTATAGGTAATGGTGAGACCCAGGGTGTGGCCATGACTGTTTGCAGCTGAATTATAGGTTGTCAGAGATTGAAGGTTTAAGAGGATAAAATGCTTGAGGGAGCATCAATATGAATGTTGAGGTCTCTTAATGTTAGGGCACTTATTAGGGAAGAGGAAGATAGTTAGTTAAATGCTGAATTCCATAAGAAAGAAGGCAGAATGATGTGGAGTCAAACACAACAACCACTATGAGCTATATAGGCTGAAAGATTTTAATAGCATGAATTTCATGGCAGAGGTTGCTGAGTAACAACAGCATAAAAGGTAGTGTCTGGAATTGGCAGGCCAGAGCAAGGACCATTCCAACTTCACCTGTAGGATCAGCATATAAAGGAATGTAAATTAACATATAGTCAGTACTAGAGAGGTTGACCAGGTATCCAGTGTTACCTGGGGGAAACCATGGCCCTGTGAGATCCAGTAGACTGAAGGAACATAAAAGGAAGAGGTCTACAAGGAAGGGAAAATGTATTTATCATAGCAAAGAAAATCCAGAGGACACTGGAAATGATGGGCAAAGTTGGAGTGGGACATGCATGCAATAGAATTTAGGAGAGGATGAGAGAAAGAAGGTAGGTATTGGAAATAGTTTACTCCTGTGTAGCCAATGATTAAGTATTATAGAGAAAGTGGAGTTTGTGAGCTATAAGAATAGTAGTGACAGATGAAAAGTAATCCTTCCACTCTGTATGGCTAAGGCAGCTTGGTCTTTGTTGTCTTGCTGCTATTCTAGGCTGGGTGAGTGGAGTTTAGGTAGAAAGCATGGATTTTCTTTCTTTCTTTCTTTCTTTCTTTCTTTCTTTCTCTTTCTTTCTTTCTTTCTTTCTTTCTTTCTTTCTTGCAATCAGGGTTAAGTGACTTGCCCTGGGTCACACAGGTAGTAAGTGTCATGTATCTGAGACTGTATTTGAACCTATGTCCTCCTGACTTCAACGCCAGAGCTCTATCCACTGTGCCACCTAGCTGCCCCTGGGCCTATTTCTTCTAAGTGGTAGGGTCTAGGTACTAGGTGGTATTTTTTCCCTGTTTTTGTAAAAAAAAAAATTAAACTTTTATAATTAATACAATTTTTCTCTATTTTATTATCTATGTTTTCCAAAAATATAATTTTTCCTCTAAGGACTCCATTAATTGCATTCCAAAAAATCAGGCAGGTTGTCTAATCCTTATTCTGTTTCACATAGTTACATTGTTTCTATTATCCAATTCAGGATTCTAGCTGTCATCATTAATTCTTCATTTAGATCTGTATCTTTTGCTTGGATGTATACGTTATTTCAGTTTTAAAAAATAATTTCTATATTTTATTATTATCTCTGCATAGAGAATTTTTTAAAGGTACAATATACTATAGTGCCAAGAAAAATGAATATTTTTTTAATGTTCAAATTCAGAAGCTGACATCTTTCACACTTAGTTTCTCTAATAGTATATTGAGTTCTATCTTCCTCCTTTTATATCTTTGTTAGATTTATCTATCTCTGTAAGAACATCATTTCCTACAATTATTGAGTTGCCAAATAGGCCTTTTTCAAGTGTGATTCATTAATTTCCTTTATGAATTTAGATGTTATGTTGTTTGGCGCATATACATTTAGAATTGAGATTGTATTTTTTTCTATGGAAACTTTAAGCTTAATGTGGTTTTCTTGTTTATCTCTTTTGACAGTATTAATTTTTATTGTTTTTGAACGCTGATTAACTGGAATCACCTGATGTATAATAAGTTGTTTTAATCTTTCATTTTTATTTTGTATTGATTTTAGTTGTGTTTCTTACATACATAAAATTGCTAGATTTTATTTTCTAATTCATTCCACTACTTTCATGTAGATGGTTGATCTTTCCATATGAAAATATAGCTTCTAACCTCATCATTCAACTGAAACTTTTCTCTGCATTTTCACCCTTCTCTACTTCTCTGCAGCTGTTGATTTATTAATGTTTTAAGTATCAAACTCCCAGGAGAATAGAATAGCAATTTTAAGCTACTTATTCTTATTTACGTTTTTAGGTCAATGCACATTTGTGCGCCTTGTATGTTTTAATCATTTCTTAGGGTAGAGGCAATGGAATACCTGAAACACATTATACACTGAATACCTACTACAATTTGGTAAAACCCTAGATATATTAAGTGTCTTTGAGTTAGACTCAGAGTGAGGAAGACCTAAACTCAAATCCAGCCTTGAACATTCTCTTGCCGTGTGGCCTTAAAAAGTCACTCATTCTCACTCAGCTTCAGTTTCCTCATCTGAAAAATGGGGACAATAATTCACCTGCCTCACAAGACTGTTGAGGATCAAATGAGATAACATATAGATAGTGCTTTCCAAAACTTAAAGCACTCTATCAGTATTGGTTATTATTATCATCATTCTTATATTCATGGACCAAACTCTGAGCTTTAAGTAATTTTCCGCAGGGGCAGAGAGTCAAAGACACAAGAGAATAAAAGAGTCAAAACTCCTTCCTGTGGAGGTCCGGTTTCCCCAGGTTTAAGCTCAGTCTATGTGCATACATAGGTCCAGGGCTCAGAGGAGTGGAGCCCTTTAGTGGAGAGGGAGCTCTCCCTCCTGAGCCCAGATACAGCTATTGTTACACATTACTCCCCTTGCTGCAGTCTTCAGTTCAGAAAGACAGGCTTGATGGCTGCTCCCTCCCACACAACACTTCAGGTCTTGTTTCTATGCCTCTGTCCTGGCTGTCTTCCATCTCTTAAAACCCCTTGTTTGTTTTTTTTCCAAAACTCACCTTCTTCTTAAAGTCTTTTTTCATACCTCCAGCCACAAGTTCATCTTCCCCCAATAATCTAGTGGTGTTTTTGTTTTGTTCTGTTTTTTTTTTTTGTATATATGTACACATTATCTCCTCCGATAAAATGTAAACCCCTTGAGGGCAGGAACCTATTTTGTTTTTGTATCTCCAACACCTAGTGCCTAGCACAGAATAGGCATTTAATCAGCACTTGTTGATTTATTGATAGATTGATTAAAACCAACGAGGCCTTTCCACAGGAAACTGAGTGAGGAAAACCCAGAAGAGAAAACATTGGTTGCAATCAGAAACCAGTAAGGTAGACTGAGTCAAGTCTTAGGACTCTCCCTGGTAGAAGAAAATTAATGTGTGCATGTGTGGCAGGGTGGCAATGAGAGTGAGGAAGTAATTCTCTGGTCTGTGGCACCATATCAAAACAGGAACAAATAAATCCAGAAGTATTTCAGTGAAGCTCATTCTGGGTGCAGTAAGGAAACTCTTCCCATCCTAAAATTCTGTCTCAGTTCATAATAAACATAGGATATCTGCTAAGAATGATTTCATGAGCTCAGTCTTAGGATTTCACTAGAAGTTTAGAAAGACAAGTCAAATCTCCAAAAGTCTCATAATGGAAAATGCTATCCACACCCAAAGAAAGAACTATGGAGTTTGAATGCAGATTGATGCATACCATTTGCCATTTTTTGCTTCTGTTTTGTTTCCTCTTTCTTGTGGTTCCTCCTATTGGTTTTAATTCTTCCTTACAACGTGACTAATGTGAAAATATGTTTAATAGGAATGTATATGTAAAACCTGTATCAGATTGCATGCCTTCTTGGAGAGGGAGGGGGAGAAAAATTTAAAACTCAAAAGCTTATGGAAATGATTGTTGATAAAGCAAAATAAATTACTAAATACTAAAAAAAAAGACAAATCAAGATTAACAATCTGTTGAAATGATAGCTATCTCAGACACCTAGTTAAAATACCAAATAAAACTATAGTTTTGGGTTGCTGTTGGTTTTTTTTTTTTAACTTCATACCTGTAATGATGTGGAGGCTGCACCAATCAGGAGACCCAGAGACTGAGCCACCAGTGATGTCATTGTCCCCAAGGCTGCAAATAGGACAAATCTAAGAGCATCAGATGGCTGAGAAGTCATCCAGTATACAATACTGCAGTAGGCCACCGGAAACATGATCTGACAAAGAAAAGGCATTAATTATTCATATCGAGAAGTTTTAGACATATAAGGTGCTTAAAAAGCACAGTCCAAGCAACATGATTTAATTACATTACACTTCTATCCCTTACTTATTGTGCTCTGTGGCAATGATGCTAATTAGCGGAATTCATTGATCAGTAACATTTTATCAAATAACTTTTTTTTTTTTGCTGCTTGGAAATTAGGACACAATTCACACTTTCTGCTCAGACAGGAAATTAAGACAGGAAATAATACTCCAATGTGAAACACACTCTTTCTCATCCTGTCTTTTTCTCTAGAAAACCACAATCTAATGAGACTTAACAGTTTGCCACCGTTTTTCTGTAGAAAACATTTTCCTTCTCAAATAATATTGTAATATTAATTTACCTGAAAGGGAACATCAGCCATGGTCTTGGCCAGATAATAGGCCTTTAGACTGTACCAATAATTCAGATGTTCTCTAAGAAAAACTCCCATCTCGAGAGGAACTATAGAGAATATGAAAAAAAATTAGTAGTGAATACCATGTGACATGTAAAATATGACAGGCTTATCGTTTACGATCTCATTCTCTCCTATGACTCAGTACGATCTATCGATGTTAATGTAGAAAAAGCTGTTACAGTACGTGGACTGCTTTGTATCTTAAGCTTGACAGGCTTAACTGATTTAGAAAAAATTCATATAAAAATGTAGCCCTAGTTTGAAAAAAATGCCAATAAGTTGTTTTCCTCTTCAAAATATCTTATTTTTATTGATAACTTTTAAATTTTTTTTAATCTCACATTCATTTCTGAATGTATACCTTTTCTCTGTCCCAACCTTATGGGACATCCTTTTTAATAACAATTTTTTAAAAAGAGGCAATTTATCAAAACTAACCAACATAATGGCCATATCCAATAATACAATATTCCTTATTCTGTCTATGCAGTGAAAGGAAGGAGGTACATTTTTAAAACTCATCCGTGGGGCCATACTTCGTCATGATAATTACAGAACATTCAGTTTTGCAGTCCTGTCATTTTATTTTCTGTTAACATTGCCATGTACACTGCACATATTAGTTTCCTATTTCTATTAATTTCACTTGTCATAATTTCATTTCAATCTTATGGTCCTTCTCTGAATTTTTTATACTCATTGTTTCTTAACAATGAGCATTTCTTAATCACAAGTATGTACTATAACTTGTTTAGCTATTCTCTAATTGATAGGCATCTACTTTGTTTCCAATTCATTACTAGCACAAAAAGTGCTATTATGAATAGTTTTGTGTTGTACATATAGGATTTGTCTTTCTGGATTTGAACTTTTTGGATAATACACAGAGAATGGTCTCTTTACATTAAAAGTGTAGGGAAATATTAGTCACCTTTTTAGCAGAATTTCAAATTGAGTTCCAGAATGTTTGGGTAAATTCATAATTCCACCAATGGTGTGTTAATAGATCAAATGTCCCATAACCTTCTGATATTATCTGTTTCTACTTTTTGTCATTTTTGCCAATTTGCTAAGGAGGTAAATCCTCACAGGTTCTTTGATCTGCATTTCTTTTTGTTATTAGTGATTTGGGGTAGTCTTTGATATAGCTATTAATAGTTTTCAGTTCTTTTCTTGAGGATTGTTTTTTTTTTCATATCCTGTTACCACTAATCCAGCAAGGAATCATTTTTGGTCTTCTATATTTGTGTTAATTCTATATATATATAAGTTGGATATAAAACCCTTATCAGAGATACATGATGCAAATATATTTCCCCATCAGCAGGTTCTTTTCTTATTCTAACTGTTGATTTTGTTAGTACCAAAGCCTTTCAACTGTACATAACTAAAATGATCTCTTCTATCTTTTGTGATCTCCTTTATTTCCCATTTGGTCATGAATTCTCTTTCGAGTTATAATTGCTAACAATCCCAAGCTAATCTCATTATCTTTATGATATGACCTTTTATGTTCAAGTCAAATTGCTAATTCATTGCTAGTTCATGATTACCTAAATGCAGTTATACCTCTTATGTTGCAACTTTCCCCATCACGGCTTCAATATGTCATGGGTCATCATAAGAAATTATATGGGAATTTTTGGGGAGTTTTGCAGAAACCACAGATGACACATGAAGGCCAATAGATGACACAGATGACACTATGACCAAATACTTAACCTAAATTTTACAATAAGGCATTGTAAACCTAAAAGAAAAAGAAAAAATTCAGACTTCTTCTTTAGTGTGAAGGGAGGCCTGAAAAAATTTATGCAGATTTTCCAGATTGTGGGGGGGCCCACACCTCTAACCCACATATTGCAGAAGGGATAATTGTAGTTCAGTTAAATGACAATGAGAGTCATATACTAACGCTGAGTCATTTTGGATTTTAATTTTAAAAGTTTTGTTTTCTCATACTTGAATTCTTTTAAGATTAGCCGAACTTTTCCTTCTCTCCTCTCTCCACCTAAGGATCTGGAATGAGAACAGAATTAACTATATAATGCTGACTGCTTTCCCAAACTTAAAAAAAGGTCCATTTTCCAAAGATGTTTGTGTTCTCCTGATATTTAATTCTAACAGACATTCCAACCAGATTAGGGTAAAATTAGTCTATCAAAAGCTCCATCAGCTCAAACAACTAATCCACAGAAGCTTCACTGGTGTCTAGAATAGGTAGTTATAACACTGTACTTAACATAGTATGATTTGAAGGATTTTGAGAAGTATCTTTGCCACCAGTGATAACCAGTGCTCAAAATTCCATAACGGATACATTTCTTTTGGTTAAATTAAGCTTTGCATGCAAGGATCTAAGACAGCTCTGAAAGCCTCATGATGGAAAATGCTATCCACATCCAAAAGAAGAACTGTGGAGTTTGAATGCAGACTGAAGACTACTATTTGCTTTTTTTTTTACTTCTGTTTTGCTTTATTTCCTTTTCCTTGTTATTCCTTCTGTTGGTTCTAATTGTTCCTTACAACATGACTAATGTGAAAATATGTTTAATAGGAATGTATATATATAGCCTATATCAGATTACATGCCGTCTTGGGGAGGGAGGGTGCGATGGAGGGGGAGAAAAATTTAAAACTCAAAAGCTTATGGAAATGATTGTTGATAAATCAAAATAAATTAGTAAAAAATAAATTAAGCATTGCATTGCCCTTTTATAAAATTCAAATGCTTCAATTTATGAAAAGCATTCTTTCCAAGAACATAGTTTATCCAATAACAACTCCTGAATTTAATGAAAATGTATACAGATGACACATTTTCACAACAGGCATGTTCCTTCTTTCATATCTCATATAAAATAAAGATGTTTCTGTCATTGTTACTCACATGTGAGGACAGTAGGCATTAGTGCAGCAAACATGAGGAACAACATGGAAAAGAAAAGGAAACCAGAATTGCTCAAGACTTTCTTGGCCTCATTCCCAATTCCTAAATATAGCAAGCCTATGAGAAGTCCAATCCCAATGTGCGATGTGATCCTTAAATGTGTCAATACCTGAGGGAAAATACAAAGTAGTCATGTTATTTTTGTTTAATTTTGTATTGAATTATTTGTACAATAAAAAAAAGATAACAATGAAAATTTATCAATAATTCACTGTACCATATAACATATTCTACTCCCTGATTATTATTGAAATTTGCCTTCAACATTCAGCTTAGGTACCATTTTCCTCTGTTCTGGGCTGGGCCTGACTCAGGCCAGCATTCTGGTACTTTAAGTTCCATACTGGAACAAAATGATGCATTGTAGGTCATTCAACAGCTAATCAAAGATTAACTTAGTTACTTAGTCATATGGCAAGAGAAGGATATTCAACAAGGGAACGCAACTTCACCTGACCAAAGTTATCTTAACTGAGTTGTTCAGCCACTTAATCATGGAGCTTCTTGTGACAGCTTTATACAGGCACTGTGCTAAGAACTAGGAATACAAAGAGGCAAAATACAGTCTCGTCCTCAAGGAGCTTACAATCTAATAGCAGCATTGCGGGCACAGTTGAAGTTGTGTAACATAAATTTGAGGTAGATCCAGAAAGTGATGTCAACAGGCTGAACCTTCAGTCCCTGAGCCAACCAACTCTTCATACCTTTTAAGGAAAAACTATTCTAACTCGCATGAGGGCAGAGGTTATAATATTGCTCCTCCAGCACTCTACCCCTTGGTGAAGTTCCTTAAGATCTTCTGCCTTTATACTAGAAGAGGTCAATTTACATATTACTTGTCTCAAACATCCTAACCTAACCTCTCATTTCCTCAAACTACTCACTTCTCATGATCTCCTCCTCTACCTCACCTCAGCCACACACAATGACGGTCAGACTCTTGATCTTACTATCACCCATAAATGTAACATCCCCACCATGTTCAAGCATTCTGAAATCCCCTTATTTGACCACAGTATATTGGCTTTCTACTTCTCCCTCTGCCTTCCCTTACATAATCCTACCCTTTGTCCATCTTGCAACATCCAGTCCCTTTAAACTTTAATTCTCTCCTAGGCCATCTCTTTACACTAGCCACTCTCTCATCTTTTCCCCATCTCAATCCCTTAGTGAATCAATTCAACTCTACACTGTCTTCTTCTCTTGATTTCCTAGCACCCTTATCACTTCATTAATTACACAATGACAAGTCTCAGCTTTGGATTACTCCTGCTATTTACCACCTTTGCTGCAACACAGGTGCTGCTGAATGAAGGTGGAGAAAATCAGGCAACCATTTTGACTGGGTCCACTGAAAATCTATGTTATACAACTTCAACTGGGCCTGCAATGCTGCTATTAGATTGCAAGCTCTTTGAGAGTAGGACTGTATTTTGTCTCTTGTGTATTTTTAGTTCTTAGCACAGTGCCTATAACATAGTAAACACAATAAATTTTTGCTGACTCACCATTCTAGAGCAGAAGTGTCAAACACATGGCCCATGTCACATGTCCTGCAACACTCCCAAGAATATGGCCTGAACTCGATTAAAATTTAAATGGGGAATATTTAACAGAATGAATAAAAATACAATAAAACAAAGATAACATTAACATGTGGTTTTCTAAGTCAAAACATGGGCAACAGAGATCCTTACATATGATTTAGTGGCCCCTGTTTTAATTTGAGTTTGACACTACTGTTTTAAAGGATCTTCCACTAGTTATAATTGACTTTAGGGCTCTTACTGGCTGACCCCGATCTCTGATATTCAACATGATTGATACAGGCAGCACTAAAGAAGGAAGAGAAAAATTAAAACAGAAAATATATTTTTTAAAAAGTTAAAAATGTAACTGTCCCCTGAAGAAATGATATGAAAGAACGAAATTTAAAAAATCTTAGGCTTCTACCACACACACACACCTTACTGTTAAAAAGCTAGCAACCTCTCAGCAATGCTATCCCTTAGTTCTCTAAACTCTCTCTAGACAGGAGTTGTACAATGACTGCTGAGTATTATATTGGCAGTATTTTGAAAGGGTTAATTGCATCTAGCTTACAGTAAGCAATGACCTACAGTGTGTAGAGTCCTCTCTTTTGCTGATGGGCTATCACTACTGATGGGAGCCACTCTGCTGTACTCTCTGCTTCTGGGTGCCACTCTACTAAAAGTGTATGGCACAGAGTATAGAGGTAAATGGCCAGGGAGTACAAAGGTATAAGATGTGGGGACACGAAGGTGGATGGAGGTAGTCTACATAACTGTGAATCAGAGATGGGAACTCTTGGGCAGCATGTACCCATAGCAGGTAGAGGAGTGCTGGAGTGGGACATGAATTTGGGGTCCCATTTTTGGAGAGATTTGGTGGTGAAGGATAGACTAACTCTCATCCATGCCACATTAGGCAGAATTCATTAACATATGCACATCATCTCAAAGTTTTGAGCAGCATCTTAGAGTTAGTTCATTAATATAATATTTTTTCCAGGTGTTTTGCTGCTCTCATTGTGCATGCCTAGAGCTTATCGGAAGCTTGAAGACCAAGGACAGTGAGCACGCCTGAGAGACTGTTACATTAAGGCCTACCTAGCTTCCCCTAATTTGACATATAGTCTCAGGATATATCCTTAGTTAATTTATGAGGCAGTTGCCAGTGCCTCCAATGTTCCTCTAATTTATGAGACAGTTTGCAAGTAACTGTTATGCTCTGTTAATCTATGAGACAGTCTGTAAATGGCTTCCAGTTTTCCTTTGCAATCTTACTTCCTACTACTCTTACCTTATGCTAGCTATTTATAAAATTACGTACTATACTAGCTGGTGGGGAGGGGAGAGTCAGAACAAGATAAAATTTCAACACAGGATAGTATTAGCATATGATTTAAAAATTCATATTTCTAGTCCATTTCATGAATGTAGCATTGAATGGGGGAGTCTCTCACATAAGGAATAAGTGGAGAAATTGTTCCCAATTTGTGGTATTTAGGAGGTATGATAATTTCCTCATAAAGGGTATTTTGGTTAAGGGGGATGGTAAATAGAGATTGGGTTGGGGATACCAGAGCTTCTAGTTTTATGGGTGGCACAGATTCCCCTTGTCTCAGTTTTTATTTGCTTTGGCTTCAAGGACTTATCTCTAGGTCTAGGATCATATGGATAAAAATATATAATTCTTTGTCTTCTAGGCTTTCCTGTTTTTGAAGATTTATGCTTAGAGATAAAATTTCAGCATACCTCCATTATGTTTAGAACTTCCAAATATAGTCTAAGTCTGCACTTTCTCCCCTTGCTCTACCAAAGTAGGGATGTGTCTCTTGTCCCTTTAAAGAGAGTAGAGATGAGTAGAGCTACCATGTCAGCATCAATCACAACAGATAAGGATTAAGCAGCTGTTGGATTTTCTTTTATATAAAGGAATAAGATGGTAGCACTTTTCATTGGTTAGCAAGGAGATTGTGGCTGTGTTCATCTCCTATCACTAAGATGGCTTCTGCCACTATCTTCTCCTTCACCCCTGTCTTACATGATAAAGTGGTCTTATTCTTCACCAGGGCTAACATTTCAACCTCTTCAAGTGATTCCATTCTATCCTGTCTTCTTGAACAGATTTCCCCCTCTGAAATACCCACGTTTTCACTTATTTTCTATTTCTCTATCTACCGGCTCATTCCTTATTGCCTACAAACTTGCTTATGTCTCCCCCATCCTCAAACTTCCATACTCATTATCATTCTATATATTTTCTGTCCTTTGTAGCTAAAGTTGAAAAATCCATCTACAATTGGTGACTACTTTCCTGTCATTGTCTTCTTAACCCCTTATGACACTCTTACAATCTGGTTTTTGAGCTTATCATTCCACTGAAACTGTTCTCTCCAAAATTACCAATGATTTCTTAATTGCCAAATCCAATGGCCTTTTCTCAGTCTTCATTCTCTTTGACCTCTTTGCAGCCTTTGACAATTTTGATCCTTGATACTCTGTTTTCTTTAGGTTTTCAGGATGCCATCCTCTCCTGGTTCTCTTCTTACCTATGTGACCACTCTTCATTTTTCTTTGCTGCATCCAGATCACACCCTCTAACCACAGATGTCCCTCAAGGTTCTATCCTGGGCCTTTTTCTCTTCCTTCTTCACTTGGTGATCTCATCAGCTCTCATGGATTTAATCACCATCTCTATGCTGATGATTCTCAAATCTATCTATCCTGCCCTAACATCTCTGCTGACCTCTAATCTTACATCTCCAAAAGGATTTCATATACCTCCCAGTAGACATTGAAAACTCAGTTATGTGCAAAACTAAATTTATCGTCTTTTTCCCTAAAATCTTTTCCCCACTTTCTACCTTCCCTATAGAGGGGAACATTATCCTCCCAGTCCCTCAGGCTCACAACACAGGAGTCATTCTTGACTTCTCAGTCTCTCTCACTCCCCATATTCAATCTTTTGTCAAAGTTTGTTGATTTCATCTTTGCAACACCTTTCTAGTATGTCTCCTTTCCTCTGGCACTGTCGTCACCACTGTAGTTCAGGTCCTCATCACTTCATGCCTAATCTATTGTAATAGCCTGCTGGTGGGTTTGCTGCCTCAAGTCTCTCCCCACTATAATCCATCCTCCATTCAGTCACCAAAGTGATTTTTCTAAAGCATAGGTCTGACCACGTCATCCTTCTATACGCAATAAACTCCAGTGGCTCCCTATTGCCTCTAGGACCAAATATAAAATCCTCTCTTTGGCATTTAAAGGCCTTCACAACCTAGCCCCTTACTACCTTTCCATTCTTCTTACCTTTTACTTTACCATATACCCTTTAATTCAGTGACATAGTCTACTGGCTGTTTTATAAACAGGACACTCCATCTCTTGGCTCTTGGTGTTTTCTCTGGCGGTATTCCATGCCTAGAGTGCTTTCCACTTTGCTCACTTCTTGGTTTCCTTTAAATTCCCACTAAAATCCCATCTTTTATGGAAGCCTTTCCTAACATCTCTTAATGCTAGTGCCTTCCCTCTGTTAATCATTTCCTATTTATCCAGTATATGACTTCCGTCATGCATATATTTGTTTTTATGATTTCTCTCCCATTACACTGTAAATTCCTTGAAGGCAAGGACCATCTTTTGACTTTTTTGGTATCCCCAGCACTTAGCACAGCATCTGGTATATAGTAGACAATAAATGTTTATTGATTGACTGATTGATCATGTTACCAACTACCAAGTTAGATCAACTTCTCATGAGTTTAGCCCTTTCCCCAAAGGAGAAGAGATTGTGCACTAGCTTAATGGAGATACTATCTTTAAGTTATTTAACATGCAGGTGAGAGGAAACATCAAGTTGTTCCAACTGTTCTGCATCCTCATCATGAACACCTCTGGAATGTCTTTTCTTAGCTGTCTAGAACCTGAGCTTGTCAAGGGGTGGAATAAGGGATAGGTCATCTGGCACCTAAGGAGAGACTGCCCACTCACCACTGACTGGGCTTTCTCACATGTAAAGAACCAAAAAGTTTGTTCCTTCTGACTTCAATTTTGTCTCTCCCAGGTGCCTACAAAAACACAATACCAGAAATTCAAGTTCCACATACATGATCCAAATTAGTAAACTCTGAGACTGTATTTGCTCAAGGTGTTTGTCCCAATAGCAACAATATTAAAATGGATAGACTCAGAAAACAGTTACATTCAAACTTCTGATTTATACACATTAATGGTGGGGATTGATATTATTGATTTGCTCCAATATATCTTGCATTCTTTGGGTGTCAAAACATGAAAGAAGGACACTCACTCTACTTGTTCTCCAAATTAGGCTGATCATCATGACCATTTTGAGTAGGTTCAATCTATAATCCCATGCTACTCCTGTACATAACTTAGATTCATAAGAGTAGTTTCATCCCATTGGTTGGAGTGAATCCTAATCTGTGGCATTGCCAGAACCTAACTGGACAGTGTTTCAGAATTCAGACTTCCACAGTTACTGAAGTGGTATCAGGGTACGCAAAATCCTTGGTGTACATTATCCTGCTACTGACCCCTTATTATTTAGATAATAGATTGACCTTTGAAATGGTCATCATTATTATTACCATTTCATTATCATCTTTTTTTTTTGGATGGAATTCAGATGGAAACATAAATAAGAACAGAAACAGAAACCAGAATGTCTCAATCTTAAAATAAAATAACTGCTTTTTGTAACTGAAGATTGTGATATAAGAACATCTCCTGTAGGCTCACTGAAACTACCTTTGGGAATAGGATGCATCCAGGATGATGGGAATGATATGTTCTTCAATCAATTCCTCCACACAGTTTTGATTTGTTCCACTAGTGCTTTATATTTAAAAAGACTTTTTTATTCCATATAACTTAGTGAATGAGTATGTGATATGGTGAAATCTCTCAAAACATTGTTATTAAATTTTTATGAATCAATGTTATTTGGTGATTATGATCAATAGTTTTGTCTGTGATAATGTTACAGTTTTTTATACTTTATTTGTTGAATTTGCAAGTATATTTGAAAGTCTCTATTTGTCACATGGGGATTTGTTACATATTAGTTTATGAAAGTCAATGAACTTCTGAGTAATAACTTTATCCTCCAAATTGTTTTATGCTAAGTAATCTGTGGGTGTCAAATGCTTGCAACCTATAGTGATTTGTAGAAGTTTTTACTGTTTTCTTGCATGATCTTCTTTGATCAAGAAGTCTGGGTTCATTAAATGTAATTATTATTATTATCATAATCATTATTGAATTTGGTAAATTGTACAGTGCTCTCAATGTACCATATTCAATGACCTCAATTTTCTCCCTATCCTTTTTAATATTAATATATTTGCATTCATCTATATAGCTTCAAACTTATGGAACAGTACAGTCTTTGAAGAATTAGATTTGTGGGTCACCAAGAGGGGAATTGGACATGTATATTAGGTGCAAATAGGTTGTAACATATTACTAAAGATGACGTGCAAAAAAAATTGAATTGAAAAATCATCCAGAATAGTTGTAACTGGAAAAGAAGGCAGTCTGTCATACAGAAGTGAAGGATAACAGAAAAACAGTCCATGTACTGCCTCCCTATAGAAGATTTATGGGACATTATGGATGACTCATTCACAGGAGTTGTCTGCCTAGATGAGGGTTATAAAAGCTGTTCGAACTGGAAGCAAGACTAGTGGTCTGGTATTAATGCCACTCCTTCAGCTTCTTTATCCATTTGACTTTTGCTGGTTTTCAATCAGCACTTGTTGCTGGTGATGACAGGGAAGGTGGATCTCCTCTCCACAATGATTTCACCTCTCAATGGCTTAGGGAATGGAAGCAAGTTTGATGCTTTTGGGGGTAACTGTTCATAGGCTCTTGGGCCCAGGGTTCCTGGACTATCTCCTTCAGGGTCTGAAGTGAGATAGTGGTCAAGATGCAAGTGGTAGTGGTGGTTTGACTTGCCTGGAAAATGCTTTCCTCCTATCTCCATCTCTAGAAGTCCTGCTACTTCCCAGGATGGACAGGATTTGTCTAGGTGGAGCAGAGGGAGGGAAGGTAGGAAAATATCCTAAGGAACCATAGTTAATGAGCTCAGGAATCAGTCTCCTTGAGCCTTTTGAAGCTCCCAGTTGCCCTAGTTTAAGGACGCAATTACTACAAATCATAGTGCTAGTATAGGACAGCTAGGTGGCACAATGAATAGAGCACTGGGCTTGGAAGCAGGAAGACTCATCTTCATGAGTTCATTTCTGACCTCAGACACCTATTAGCTATGTGACCCTGGGCTAGCCACTTAACCCAGTTTGCCTCAGTTTCCTCATCTGTAAAGTGAACAGAAGAAGGAAATAGCGAACCACTCTAGGATCTTTGCCAAGAAAACTTCAAAATGGGGTCGCAGAGAGTTGGACATGACTAACACACAATAACAACTAGTATGTCTATTCAAAGTTTAGGAAGATTCTGGAAGATCTTATAAAAAGGATCCAAATAGAATTCTTTTGCATAAGAGCAATATAAAGTAGCCTTACCGAATCCCTCATGATGCTGAGAAATGTTCTTTTGAAGAGGATACAGAACTGAGTGAGGCAGCTAGCTGAGAAGCTGTGACAGCCTTCAGAAGAAATGGAGTTCTGAAGAAATAGAAGAGAATACAGAAAGTCAGTCTCCGAAATGAAGTTTTGGCTTGGTTGTTTTTGGCGATAAAACACTGCCATGTGCAACAGAGCACACAATGCAGTATGTGGTTTTCCCTCTTGCTCCCGCTTTTAAAAGTTGACATTACTGATTGCAACCACTTTAATCATTTTGCCTGCTTTACCTCTTCAGAGGGCCGGTGCCAAAGGAAAGGGTTCAAGTCAGCATCGCCCCCAAATTCTCTCTTGAATTCTGTGTCACACATGCCCTCCCGCACGGCTCTCACCAGGCGACTGTTTTGATCACCATATTCACCAGATGCAACCTCCATCACTAGATGAAATATTTAGAAATGAAGTCAGTCCCAGGATGCCAAGGAATATTCATAAATATGCTAATTATGTGAAGGACATTTCACTACTACAAATAATTAGATTGCTATTGTAGAGGAAGGAAGAAAAATCATGTATGTTTTAAAACAATTATATAAACTCCATGTTATATTAAAGTATCAAAATCATTTACAAGTAACGGGAGGTACTGGGAAGGTAGGCAAGAAGAGTTGTCAATATCCCCTGAGCCAGAGGACCTACTTAAATATACCTAGACAACTCCCAGCCTTCTTTCTTGTGGTTAGAGCTTTTCTAGGGGCTCTCTCCCTTTTGGGGGTGGGGCTTATCCCCTTCCAAGCAACTCACTTATCTCAAGAGAAAGCATGGCTTTCTTTTCAAACTCTAATGCACAAAAATGGCACCAACCCAGAAAAAACTAGCAGAGTTTATTCACCAATCAACATCCATTTTAGATCAAAAGCTGAAAACAAAACTTGCAACCAAAGAAGCATATATTCCAACTTATTACAGCATAATAAATATTTGGGGGTATATACCCTTGAAGGTTTCATCTATATGAATCATATTGCAGATAGTTACCATTTCCATTACATCATGTGTTATTTATCTTCAGGCAATTTATACATGGGGTAAATATATATAGGTGCACATGTATACATGTATTTATGCCCTTTGACCTGGTAATACCACTACTAGTTCTGCATCTCAAAAAAAAATTTTTTATATATGCATACATACATCTCTTTGCAACTAAATTTCAGGTAATTAAATACAGACAAAAATTTTTAATAATTTTTTAAATTAACAAAAATTTATTTTCTCTCTCTCCTGACCCCTACCTCCATAGAGAAAGAGAAACACAAAATTCCTGTTATAAACATGGAAACTCAAGTAAAACAAATTCCTGCATTGGACATGTTCCCCCCTCCCCCCAAAAAAAAGTCTCTATCTTCACACTGAGTCCATCACCTCTATAAACAGGTGGGTAGCATCTTTCAAAAATCATGAGTCCTCTAGAACTGTAGTTGGCCATTACTCTGATCAGAGTTACTAAATCTTTCAAAGTTGTTTATCATATTGTTTTCATATTATAAATCATTCTGGTTCTATTTAATCTCATTCTGCATCAATTCATACAAGTCTTCCTAGATTTCTCAGGAACCATGCTTCTCATCATTTCTTATACTATAATTTTATTCCATCGCATTTACAAACAATATTTATAAACAAACTTGTTTGACCAATCTCCAATTAGTGGGCATTTCCTGAGTTTAAGAGCTGCTATAAATAACAGGCCACTAGGTGGCAAGATACGTCTGGAGTGCTAGGCCTGGAGTCAGGAAGACCTGAGTTCCAATTCGATCTCAGACACATACTAGCTACGTGACCCTGGGCATGTCACTTGATCCAGTTTGCCTCAGGATCCACATCTGTAAAATGAGCTGGAGAAGGAAATGGCAAACCACTCCATTATATGCCAAGAAAACCCCAAATAGGATAACAGAAGAATTTATGATCAAATAAAATTTGGAAATGATTAGGAAAGGTAAAATGGATAATTTTGATTACATTAAATTAAACAGGGCTTGCACAAACAAAACCAATGCAGCCAAGATTAGAATGAAAGCAGAAAACTGGGGCAGAGAGGAATTACAGCAAGATTCTCTGAAAAAGGCCTAATTTCTCAAATATGTAGAGAACTGACTCAAATTTATAAGAATGCAACTCATTCCCCAATTGATAAATGGACAAAGGACAGGAACAGGTAGTTTTCAGATGAAGAAATCAAAGCTAATTATATCATATGAAAAAACGCTCTAAATCACTCTTAATTAGAGAAATACAAATTAAGATAACTCTTAGGTACCGCTTCCTACTTATCATACTGGATAACATGACAGAAAAGAAAATGACAAATGTTGGAGGAAATGTGGGAACACTGGGACACTAATGCACTGTTGATGGAATTGTGAACTGATCCAACTATTCTGGAGAACAATTTGGAACTATGCCCAAAAGGCTATAAAAATGTGCATACCCTTTGGTCCAGCAACAGCACTTCTAGTGCTGTATTCCAAAGACAGTATAAAAATGGGAAAATGACCCACATGTACAAAAGTATTTATAGCAGATCTTTTTGTGGTAGCAAAGAATTGGAAATTGAGGGCATGCCCCTCAATTGAGGAATTGCTAAACAAACAGTGGTTTACAATTGTGATGGGATACTATCTTGTTATAAGAAATGATGATCACGATGCTTTCAGAAAAACCTGGAAAGACTGACATGAACTGATGCAAAGTGAAGTGAGCAGGGCTAAGAAAACAATGTACATAGTCACAACAATAGTGGAATGTGGCAAAATTGAGAAACTAACCCACTGTTGGCGGAGTTATGAAGTGATCTAACCATTCTAGAGAACAATTTGGAACTATGCCCAAAGGGCTATAAACTTGTATATCCTTTGCTCCAGAAATAACACTACTAGGTCTGTATCCCAAAGAGATAAAAAACAAAAAGGAAAAGAACCTATATGCACAAAAATATTTATAGCAGCTTTTTTTTTCTGATGACAAAGAATTGAAATTGATAGGATACTCATCAATTGGGGAATGGCTGAACAAATTGTGATATATAATTGTGATGGAATACTATGTGCTGTAAGAAATGATGAGCAGGATGCTCCCGTAAAACCTGGAAAGACTTAGGAGAACTAATATAAAGTTGAATGCCTAAAACCAGTGCATTGTACATAGTAATAGCAATATTGTATGATCATCAACTGTGAATGACTTGGCTATTCTCAGCAATACAATGATCACAACATGACTAATATGGAAATATATTTTGCATGACTGCACATGTATAACCTATATCAAGTTGCTTGCCTTCTCAGTGAGGGAGGAGGTGAGGGAGGATAGGAGACAATTTGGAACTGAAAAAATTTTTTAATGTTAAAAATTGTTTTTACATGTAGTTGGGGAAAAGTGAAAGATTAATAAAGTGAAAAAAATGGCATTACAAAGAGTCAGACACAATTGAAACAACTGAACAACAATGCATTTGTTCAATATTTTTTCTTTTCTTTATGAGTTTAGGGTATTGTAACCTTTCGCAATTATATCTTCCAGTTTTTTTTTTTAATTTGTTTTACTTGATCCCCTGAATCTCTCTTTGGCTTTTTCTTTTCTGTCTCTTCTACCATTCCTTGGCTCTTCATAATTACAGGTTCCTCTTTATGTGAATCTTTTATTGTGCAAACTCATTTGGAAAATTATTTTCTCTCTGCTATCTACATTTAGCAACATTAGGCATAGAGCTGCATTAGTCTTTTTGTGATGAACAGAGTCTATAGTAAAAGACCCAAAGTGGGTAATCTCTTTCTAAATTAGTATGGTTACCAGGTTAACTTACCTGTTTAGTAACTACAACAACTATCTTTGTAGTAAGAGGAAGTGAACTCAGTCAGAAAAGTATCTAGCCACATCACAAACAGATGCCTGAACTGACCACCAAAGATCCGGGGCTTGTTGGGAGAACATTTTAATAGGGATGTAAACTAATTATTTTTTGATAACTATGTACTAACGCCAGCTGTTCCTTCACTTGTTATTAAAAAAAAAACAACCCTGAATATTCAGAGTTGAGAATAGAGTGACAACCTTTTAGCGAACAAATATTTTGAGGGATTAAAGCCATTGCCCCTTCCCTGAAAAAACAAAACAACCCTCAAATTGTCTTGTTAGATCAATAAGGCGGTTAAAGTATGCCTTATAACTTCTTCATTTTGTAGAGGAAAGAGAGGGAACCTCTTTTTGTTCATTGAGCTCTGGCTTGTTGAGTAAAAGGGAACACTCAGGCATCAGATCTTTGGGACGGGTAGTCCCTAGGGTCTTATGAAACAGAAAAGGTCATTAAGCTGGAAAGAGGGAGCTCTTCACTTCTTCCACATGCACCATAGTTCTAAGCTTATTGGCCCCATCCCTTTTACTCTAGTAAAGGAGTTTATGTAGCTAGGGAGAGCAAAACTTCAAGAATAAGAAAACATTTTTTTTTCCCAGATGCAGGGGCTTCAGGTAAAAGTACAAAATGAAAAAGTAGAAGCTACTCTTTTTCTGTGCCTTCTCACTGGTAAAGAGTAAAAATGAACAAAAGAGAGGATTAATTTTCATACTTACCAAAATCTGCTGGGTTGTGGTAAGTTGGACAGTTTAGACCTAAATCTCTCAGGTAAGGTACTAGATTTGAAACTCTCCCCCGGTATACACATTGCCCTTGACTCAGGACATAAAGCTGAGAGGAAAAAAAAAAATGAAAGAGCATGTGAGAAAAAAGACAAGGTGGTGTGATGCTCCTTTTCTCTACATAACAAGAGGGACTGAAAGGTCTTTTTTTGTACAACTCCTCATCTTTAAATGGACTTTGAGTTTTCCATAAAAAGTGTCAGTGAAAGCCTAAAGGGATAAATGCCTCAAATCAGAAGACTAAGGAGATAAAGTAGTTTTTGATCACTTTAATATAGTTTTGTATATATTTTTTGGAAGTAGTAATATGAAACTTTCACCCCATAAGATTTTGCTATGATTTTGCGTTTCAATTTGATTTAACTTAATTAAACAAATATTTGTTAAGCTATTCTGTCTTAAAATAAAAAGGTGATAGGGATAAATAAAATTAAAACTATAGCTATGAACAAAAATAATGACAAAGAACTGTCTGATTTCAATGAAAAAGATAATAAATATGAATGCAACTTCAGGGAAGATAGATAGATAGTACAAAATGAAGTATACCTGATCAAATAGCTCAAACAGTTTAGCACTAGGTTGATGGATTGTACAAATGATGGACCTGCCTCCCTGGGCCAAAGCTTTCATCAGTGAGACAACTTGGAAACAGGAAGCACTGTCCAAACCACTGAAAGAGAAGAAGAGAAAGGGCAAGAAACCCATGGATATCAGTGGCCAGAGAAGCAGAAGACTGAGCTGGATATTGGGAGGTGAATTCTTCCATTCTCTTGGCTATAGGAAGGTCAGTGGCCTTAGGTGCTGTGATATTGTGTTACAAGAATCATTTTTGTGCCTTGTTTTAAGAATGTTGATATATCAATATACTCTTTACTCTCTTTCTGACATCTTTATTGGCAAAATAACTGATGACTCAGAGACATTAACCTAGTCAAGGGCAGAGAAAATTTCAAGCAATTCTAGCATAGGAAGGTAGGAACCTTCTTTAATGACTTCCCCAGGTGGGCAGATCTGCCTCCAAAAATATATTATAAAATTATTTCTGTTGTAGTCAATATGTGAGAGTAACACACGTTTTAGCTTCTAGCAGTGGGCTGCATGCAGATAACAATTCACTGGATTCATTTGATGACAAAGGATCACAAAACACAAAATCTGCTGTTTGCTGTTGGGATTGGATATTACTGGGAAAGTCATTTCTTCATCCGAATCCTCAGACTAACAACTATTTCCTACTTTCCAAACATCTTTATTTCTATTTCTAGTTCCAGTTCTGTAGTGATAGGCAAACAGTTAGTTGGCTGACAGGTGGTATCAACAACATAGAGGGTATAGTCCATGAAAAGACCTATCCTGGCTTCCCTCCCCAGGGAACCTTCTCTAGTTGCTAGACCCAGGTAGCCCACCCTTGGTCAAGACCTGTCACATCCTCCCAGATTTCTTGGAATCCAGAACCTTTTCCAGTGTATGTCCAACACCTCCAACTTCTGACCAGGTTCCCATATCTACTCCTGTTCTGTTCTGCTGTGTGGTGGACCTACTGGGGTTTTGGAAGACATATCACCACATGTCATGATACTGTGTCTAATGGAAGGACAATTTAACTATTCCTCAACAAACTTCTTTCCAAACATTTTTACTCTACCTGGACTCATTTCTTAATTAGTCCACTTCTACCCCCCCATTATATTCTTCCCACCCTAGCTGCTACTCTACATCCCCAATTGCCTTACTATTATCCTTTACTCTGATTCACCTCAAAGTAAACATCCCTTAATGTCCCATTCCAGATTTCTCTGACTCTTTAATTTGGGACCTTTAGAATGTCTGGTTCATGGTTAACAAACTTCGTTTCATCTTAATCCTCTGCCCTTCTCATTCCTTCCATTTCCTGGCATTCACGAAGACCTGGCTCCATTCTAAAGATAACTATTTCCCTCAATATTCTTTGCAGGACAGTTATACTTTCACTCACACCCCAACTTACTGGTTACAGTAGAGTAGTAAGAATACGCCTTGCTCCCCAATGCCACTTCCAGATTCTCCCTCTACCACCTTCACTCAGCTACTTCTTCTCTTTTGAGAATCATACTGTCCATGTTTATTAGCCAGTCCACATACTAGTTGCCTTTATCCATCTATAATGATAATATTCTCCTTTTTAAATGACTGGCTCAAAGTCCCTCTCTCCACCCTAACTTTTGTCTTGTGCTAGGGTACTTCAACAAACATACTGATGCTCCCTCAAATGCCCTAACATCTCAGTTCTTCTATCTGCTTAATTTCAAAGACTCTTCTATTCTGCCTCAGCTACACACAGATGATTGTATCTTTGATTCTGTCATCACCTATAAATATTCTACTTCCATGCTCGTGAACTCCAAAACATTTTTTTAATGTGGTAATAATATTTTATTATCCCTTCTTTCCCTTTGTCTTATAACCCTGAACCTTGTACTGTGATTTCCATTCCCATCACCATTTAGTTCCTTCCCAGGCCATCACCCCTACACTGGATCTGCTTCTTCTTTCCCTTTTTTGATCCTTTGGTGAACCAAGTTACCTTTATACTGTCCTCTATTCTCAAATCCCTTGCTCCTTGTCCTGTCACTATTCCCATCTTACCAAATCCCAACCTTGAATTAATCTTACCATCTAACTCCTTTGCTCCTATTCAGCTGTTGAATAAAGCTGTACTAAATCAGTAAACCACGCTTATTAGGCCCACCACAAATTTACGTCCCCCAATTTCAACAAGGTTTTCATTGAAACATAACAATCATTCCATTCCTTCCTAATCAGTTCACTATCCCAATCTCTACAGAGGCTTTCTAACCTTTCTCACCTCTCCTAGTCCCTTCCCATACCCTCTTTGCTGAGGACTTCACCTCACACTTTCATCAAAAAAAAAAGATGCCATTCTTTGAGAGCTCTTCCATTTTTTCTTCTTCTTCTTCTTACTTTACATCACTTAGACATCTATTTCCTTTTTCACTCCTGTGTCCAATAAAAAGGTGGCCCTTTTCCTTGCCAAGGCCTATCCTTTCACATCAAGAGTTCTTGGGGTCCATGGATTAAAAACTTTTTTTTGATAACTACATTTCAATATAATTGTTTTACTCTGTAATCCTACATATTTTAATTTTATACATTTAAAAAGATTATTCTGAGCAGGGGGCTACAGACTTCAGTAGACTGCTAAAATAGTTCATGACACAAAAAAGGCAAAGTGCCCCCTGCTCTGTGTTTAACTGTCATCCCAGCCCCTCTTATCATCTTCATTGACCCTCCTATCATCCCCATTCTCCTTATCTTTGATCTCTCACTATCTACAAGTTTCTTCCTTGATACCTACAAACAGACCCAGGTCTTCCCCTGCTTAAGAAAAGCCCTCTCTTGGTCTTACTGTTCTCTGTACCTATCATCCTATACCTCTCCTCTCCTTCAAGACTGAACGCTTTGATAAAGCTATCTGACTAGTTTCCTTTGCTTCTTCAAACAAATGACCTGGATAACCACTATGCTTCTTCCATGTTGTATTTGAAAGGTTCATTTTTTGAACCTAAATGTAAACTTGACATTTCTCTTGTTTAATTTCTTCTATCATGTTCAGCCCAGAGCTCTAGCCTTGGATTCAGATTCTATCATTCAGTATGTTAGCTTTCCCTCCCAGCTTTGTATCACCTATAAATGTGCTGAGATGCTTTTAGCCAAGTCAATTATAATCATATTAAACAGGGCAGCATGAAAGGGGAAATCCTTGTGGCAACCGCACTTGGGATTTATGCAGGCTCTATCCAGTCTCCTCACAGTTGTAAACTGCTTGGCACAGTGAATAGAGCACTGGACCTGGAGTCAGGAAGATGTGAGTTCAAATGTAGCTTCAGACACTCATTTAACCTCCATCTGCCTCAGTTTTCTGAACTGTAAGATAGGGATAACAACAGCTTATACTTTACAAGGTTGTTGTGAGGATTAACTGAGATATTTGTGCAGCACTTAGCACGGTGGTTGGCACATAGTAGGAACTATATAGATGCTTATTCCCTTCTTTTCCCTTCTCTTATAATCAATTTAGAAAAGACAGATATAAAGAATATTTTGAATAGGGACAAATTCACAAACATGTGATATGTAATAAAGCGAAATGAACTGTTAATTGTTTAACTTAGTGGCATCTTCATTGTCTTTTATAAAGCAATGTCTCAGTTACAACAGACGTTTCTAACTTACCTGGTAGGCTCATCAAAGAACATGACAGGTGGATTGTTCACCAATTCCAAGGCAATGGCAAGCCGCTTTCTCTGGCCTCCAGAAAGACTTCCTGTTCTTATGTTAGCACAGGACAACAGACCCAAAGCTGTCAGGATCTCCTTCACCTAGGAGATTAGTTCAGTAATATGAAGGCTAAGTTACCACATTCAAACTATACTATTTATTTTAGTCAAAACATAGGAAACATGATTAAGTTACCCCAAGTTATTTTATACACAAGGGCCACATAGGTGTCTGTATTGCAAAACCTTCAAGTTAACTTTCTTTTAGTCTATGTAATCCTCTCATAATACAGGTAAAGTATGTGAAGCTTTTGAAAACAACTGCAGAACCTGCACAGTCTTCACACCAACACTGATGCACATTTGTGAATTGTACACACTTCTTGATTCAGATCAGCTCCTATAATTTGATCACTCATGCAAAGAACTACTCATATTCATTGATAAAAATAAAAACACGAGCCACTTCCATTTAAAAACACCACTGCCTGCTCCCTTAATAAGCATACATTTCAGCCCCAAAAACCAAAGATGCCCATCCTACCCTCCTGCTGTCATCTCCGGGTCCCCTATTCTGTTGTTAACAAACCATCCTTCATAGCAGAACTATGTCCTTCCCCTGGAAATTACTTTGTATATACCTATAGACAAATAAATTGTTTCCCTCTAACAGGATATAAGCTCCTTAATGACAGAACTGTCTTGTGTTGCCAACACTCAGCTGGGTTCTTGGCATACAGTAGACAATTAATACATACTTGAATTGAATCGAAATGGAATTTACAAAAAGACCTGTCGCCTCTCATTTTCATCTGCAACAGGATCACATCTAGGTTAAGTTGCAATAGGCAATCTTAACAAGGCACAAGACAGTCTGATCCTGTATAATAGTTTGTCATTGCCCCTATAAATGTAGGCCCTTGCCAGTCAAGCACTGCAGGTATTACCGTTAGAGTTCAATTACTTTGTTTTAACTAGGAGATGGGGTTAATCAAAAAGAAAGAACTCCCAAGAAAGAATATTACTATTTTGGGTTCCTTAATTGTTAACTGTTGGCACAAAATGTTGCTTCAGTAATGGAAGGCAGAAAATATTTCTAAGCTATAGCTCACTAATAGAGGGCAAAATAGGAAAAGAAATACCTTTTTTGCAAGGTAATCAGCTCACACAGCTAGTGAGTATCATGTGCCTGAGTTTGGATTTGAACTCAGGTCCTCCTGACTCCAGGGCTGGTGCTCTGTCTACTGCACCACCTAGCTACCTCAAATGCTATTAGATGTTAACACAAGACTTTTTTTGAGCAAGGCAATTGGGTAGATCCTCATTTTTATCACTGAGACTTTTTCCTGTGAAGATATTAATAAAAGTCTTTTCCTTTACACTTTTTCTTTCCAGAATTTATTACTTTTAGATGAAGTAAAAAATTAAACAATAAATAAATAATTAAACTCTCTTCATTAGATTTGAGAAAGAATTTATCATATAACTGTACGTTATAGTTTGCATTTGAGTTTATATTTTGTAATTTGAGTTTGTATCTAATTAATTTATTAGGTTATCTTCATGAGGGATGGGATGACTCCTTATCTAAAATTTCTACTTCCCTGACAGATGAATGTATATGGTAGATCTGAGACAACAAATACAGCTTAAGAATAGTATTTATAGAAACAATGAAAATATTTCATATCAAATATAAAACATTTATTAATAGAAAGCCCTAATTAATAGTATAGGATAGGGAAAGGGTGTGGACTTGTAATTTCACTGGCATAAGAAACTCTCAGATGAGGAAACTTCCTCTACCAATATAGATCAATGCTTTCTCTGCAACTTTCAATCTTAGATAGTTGTCTAGAACCCTAAAAAGTTAAATAACTTGTCTAGGATCACAATGCCAGTATATGTCAGAAGCAAGACTTGAACTTAGATCTTTCTGGTTTCATTATCAACTTGCTATCCATACATTACCTTCTCAAATAATTACAGAGATAGTGAATTCATTCTACATTCCTCAAGAAACATTTACTAAATATCTACTCTGTGCTGCAGGCTGCTAGGTGCTGAGGATACAAAGACAAAAACAAATAGTCCTTGTCCCTTATATTGAAGAGTAGAAGGAAAAGTACACAAAATAGGAAATGTAACATGTATACAAAGTAATTAGGGGTAGAGAAAACTGGTCGCTAAAGAGAAGGTCCTGCACAGTGAGAGAAGGGGAATGCCTTAACAAGCCCAGCTATAACCACATTCAAAAAGATAAGGCCAGTTAAGAGTAGTTCATTTCATCTTCTTCAACCAAACAAACTTCCAAACCCTCAGAGATAACTAACTACAATTTCAATTTCTGAGAGAGGGAGAATTATTCACAAATACTTACCTCTCCTCTTGACCCCTTCCCCTCCATTTTTTATCTTGCCATACAACTTTCTCTCTTCTCAAGGAGAGAAAACCCACAGGTATAAAGGACCAGTCTAGTGGAGAGGCGTTACTGAATTATGTTAATCTTTGGGATCATTGTAAACTGGAGTCAGATTCTACCTACATTCTATTTCCATAGTTTCTTTTTACTCCTTAAATGGACTGTCATTTAGCATTCCATCTTCAAGATGGGTGGTTGACTCATTCAGAGTTAGAGGTAATTTTAGAAATCATCTGGTCTAAAAACCTTCATTTTACAAATCAGAAAACAGAGAGGTAATTTGCATATTTTTCATGTTTACTGGGTCTTGATTTTTTTTTTTCATTAAAACTTAGGCTAGCCCCAGATTTACAGGCACTGCATAGGAAACATTTTCTGTAGAAAGAAGGCTAGGTTTGTTTCTTTCAAGAATCACAAGAATCACTTCTATTCCAACACTGAAAACTTTTTAAAACCTTTATATTATTCTTCATAACAACACCCAGCTTAGTTGGAAGATTAAAGAATCCCAAGATATTCCAAAATAATTTACTTCCATTCATCCCACTAGGGTCATTTTTCTGTCCATTAATATGAATTAAAAGACATTAAAGGAATATTTTAGGTGAAGATTAAAAATACTTCAAAAGAATCCATTAACCTTTGCTTTTTAGAAATGTTTAAAATGTTTTTTGTTTTTTACTGAATGTCCATTTTTTTTCATTAATGCTTATGTTCCAACTTGCAGGGTAGGTCACTTTGTATTACATCTTCAACTCCTTTGCTCTTTTAAACACATTATTCCATTTTTTCTTGTGGTTTCTAGTAAGTGGAGAATAATCTTTTGTTATTCAAATATCCTTCCTTTATTTTTAAAGGTCTTTCTCCTGGTTGCTTGTAGAATTTGTTGCTTGTCAGTGGAGTTGTTAAATGTAAACATTTTGTGTCCTTTTTTTTTTTAATTTTGGAAGTAACAGATTTTTTTTAATTGGAATTTTGCTTTCTGCCTAAAAGTTCTGGGCAGTTTTCTTGCATACCTTGATTTGTTGTGTCTTTCTGGGAGACCTAACATCCTTAAGTTATCTCTACATATCCCATCTTCCACCTAATGTAATGCAATGCAATGCAACACAATACACATTTATTAAGCACCTACTATGAGACAGGCACTGTGCTAAACACTTGGGATACAAATAAGAAAAAGAAAAACAGCTCCTGCCCTCAAGAAACTTACAATCTAATAGCTGAATACAATACATAAAAGAAAGCTAGAAAACAGTGAGGGAGGAAGAGGACCACTTTGGATACTCAGCATGGAGTTGAAGTCAAGCAGAGTGACAGACTGAAAATGGAGAGTAGCTCAATGGAGATCATGCTTCCCTTTAACGTTTTTGCTCTTTGTTTCTCTTCTTTCACATTGTCCTTCACTTAGCATATTTACAATCCCAATGAACTATCTTGCTTCTTTGGTGAAATTTGCCATGATAGATTCAAGTTCTTTCCCCCACCCCCTATTTTGCCAATTATTTCTGCTGTGAAGACAATAAATTCTACTTTTTAAATTCTTATTTCTCTTTTATATCATTCAGAAATATCTTCTATGGTTCCATGGTCTCTTCAGATTTCACAGGGTTCTATGCCTTACAAGGTATCGATTCCTTTTTGTTTGTTTTGCAGTACTTATTCGTAGATGCCTGAAATTTTCCTCCTTCTATAGGCCATCTTTGCTTGTGTTATTAATATCTTCTATGTTGACATATCTGATTATTCTCAAGGTCTTTAAGTTTTGTTTCCCCTGAGATCTTTGGTAATTAGTCTTTTTAAAAAATTTTCCCATATTCCTCACTTTTTTGACCCCTTCCCCTCTGGCAGTTTCCCCAGGATCTCAAAGTTATCTCAAGCTCCTCCCATAATGGGCAATTCACAGTTCATCACTTTATGTCTCTACCCCCCACTGACTTCTGGGGGACAGAACTGGCCCATGGTAGATGCTAAGCTCTTAACAAAGCTTAACAAAGTGCTACACAACTTCATACAGGTGTATTGCCCTAGTTCTCTGGCAGAGCTCAATTGAAGCACAAAATATTATGATTCCTCACTGTTATCCTGCTCCTTCATTCTGAGCTTTGTCATTTGCAATTCCAAAAGATTCATGATACAAAATGCTATCCACATCCAGAGAAAGAACTATGGAGTCTGAATGCAGATTGGAGAATACTATTTTTACTGGTTTTTCTGTGCGTGGGTGTGCACGTGTACATGTGCATTGCATGTGTATGTGTATGTGTATCTTTTCCCCTTTTGTTGTGTTTCTTCTTTCACAAGATGACTAATGTGGAAATATTTTTACATGATTATGCATGTATAACCTAGATCAGATTGCTTGCTGTCTTGGGAAGGAGGGCTGGAAGGGAGGGAAGGAGAAAAAATTTGAAACTCAAAATCTTATAAAATATGAATGTTGAAAACTATCTTTACATGTAATTGGAAAAAATAAAATACTATTTACCAAAAAATATATATATATTTTTTGCCATTTGGTCTGGGAGGTACTGCGGGGAGGAGAGGGCATAGGATTTAGTTCTGTTGAAAGCTATGGATTGGCTTGCATAGCCCTGCTGCCACAACATGATAGGTGGTGTCTGTCTCAGTTTCTTCAGTGCTAAAATGGGGAAACCAATAGCATTTACCTCACAGGGTTGATATGAGGATTAAATGAGAAAAAATCTGTAAAGTGCTCAGCACAGTGCCCAAGGCATAGCAGATGCTTCTGTTCCTCATCCCTCCCCTTCTTGAGTGCCGCAAAAGAGGTAGAGAAGAGGGAGAGTATTAACAGGGAACCATCACAAAACAATGTGTTTACATGTTATCTGAGAGGAGAGTTCAAAGACACTCTTCCTGAACCTCAAACTCCTCTGTAAAAAGAGGGAGAAAGATTGAATTCCCTCAGTAGCATGATCCTGGAATCTAGCCTTCTAGCTTGAGAAGGTAAATTTCCTCTACAGTACCATCTGTATGAGCTGCCCAAGTTCAAGAGTTCTGCTGTTTCAGAATTCTGGCCCAGACCTTCTAAAGAGATAGGAATATATCCTAAAGCATCATGCTTTCTGGGGAAAAAAGGGGACAGTCCTCCTAGTTCTTGAAAACCATCCTATTTGGGAAGTACAGTCAATGAGTTTTTTGTATAGTGCAAGACCTATGAGAAAGAGTTTGCTTGTTCAGTAGGTGCCACCATATGTTTACCTTTGGGGGCCAACTGATTCTAAAACACCAGGTGGCACAAGCCTTGGGGAGATTTTTAGGACTCACCAGAATCACAGAGGATTGCCCTGACATTAGTCCCAAGTTCAATTTCCCTCTGGGAGGAGTTATATATGGTATTATTGCATTGTATTTTATTATATATATATATATATATATATATATATATATATATATATATATACACACACACATAGTGGGTATATACACATGTATGTATGTGTATATATATATATAGTGGGTATATACATACATACATATACATACATACATACATATATATGTATGTATGTATGTATGTATATGTATGTATGTTGTTTTTAAGACATCATAATGATGGGGTATGGGCCCAAGCCGAGACCTTTGCCCCTTACCCCAAAAAGAATTTGGGTCCCATTTCTCTATGGCCCCAGAAAACCCTTAAGCTTTTTTTGAACTCACTTGGTCAAAGAAGCTTCAAATGGTTGCCTGAAGCTATAATCCACTCAACAGGCCTTTCCTTATCTCTTATTCTTATTCCTATCAACTGGCCTTATGGCCTAGGCCCAATCTCCCTTTGATACCCATCTTTGATCTTATCCATACCCCATTCAACCTCTCTTCCAGTTCTTTGTTACCTTAATAAAGCCTAGCCCTCCATGTCTATTCCCTGATGACCCCATTCAACCTCCCAGACACTCCCATCAGGATTCTCCCTAAACTCCTCTCCAGCTTCAGGATCCTCTTCCAGCCCCAACTCTGGTCATCCCAAATTATTTGTCTGTATATAAGTTCATCCTGGCTCCAATTTACGGGCTTAGATATCCTCATGCCCCCATATCCTTACAAGCATCACTAATGTTCAGATTCCTCAAGAGTCTGGCCTGTGTGGTTCATCTATAATATCTTGTCTTTGGCTACAAAAAGGCTTGGCTCAAATTCATTAAGGTAGGACCCACGTGTTGTGATTTTGGGGTCCCAGCACCTAAACCTCAACAATAATACTCTCCAAACATTGTTCTATCTTCTTTGGGCCCAAATAGCTATGAATAACTAGGCAACAGCAAGGCATTAGCTATACTAACAAAAGGGCTAATTTGGTTTAAAATGTTAATAGGACTCATTTCTAAGACTTATACATACCATCTCCTTTCTGCCTTCATCCTTCTCTTGAAGTTTTAGATGAGCAGAAACCTGAAATAGGACAAAAGCAACTCTGAGAAGATTATCTAAAAGGAACTTGTAGCTGGAAGAACTGACAGGGTACAGGGCTTGGGAACATGGCCCTCCACCCTGAGCTTTCCTTGGGCTTTCCCATGTGGCCAGTTCTCTGGCCTTCACCTCCACCTGAGGCTATAATCCTTTCAACTGGCCTTACACTGTGGCCTATGCCCAATCTCCCAATTCTCCATTATCTCTAACCTAGCACTGCCCTTCATTGTCTGTTACCTCCCATTGGTTCCTGGCCACTTCCCACCCCTAATTCCTTCTACACCCCTTCTCACAGTCATCCCAGACTACTTGGTCACTCTTAGATCACATCCAGATCTTCCCATAGTCTTTCTGCATATGTTATCATCTTGTCCCCATTAAATAGCTCAGATTCTTAAAATCTGGCCAGTAGCATAGACTCACTAGGAATCTTGCTCACCCCAATTGGTGATTTAATAAACCTTGTCTTTGGCTGAAAGAAGGCTTGGGTCAAATTCATTTGAGGCAGCACCTGCATTGCTTGCTCTTTAATTTCAGGGTCCTAGCACCCCGAAACCTCAACAGAACTAAACTCTAAATAACAAAACCAAAGCAAACAAAAGGTGCCATGAAAGGCTCACACAGGATTCAAAGGACAACTTGTAGCACTAGTCATATCCACTCACCTGCTTTTGTTATAATTGAATGATTGGAAGGGGAAGAAGGAAACTTCAGGGAGTTTGCATGTTTCATCTAGATACTTACCTAATGTGCCAATTTCCTTATTAGAGCATAAAGTTCATCATAGAACAGGAATAATTATCTTAGGTTTCCATATATTTTATTTAAATTATCTTAATTTTTCAGTGAGGTAAATGGGAAACAGAAAATTTAAATATAATGTTTGTAAACCCAAGGATGTATCAGCATATGGGAAACCTACGTTCTGGTCCCAGCAGTGCCACTATTGTGGCACTTAACTTTTTCTCAATCCTCATTCTCTTGATCTCTCTGCACCTTTAGACTCTCCTCCTTGAACTCCCTTCTCTGCAGGTTTTTGAGATACCACTCTTTCCTGGTTTTCTTCCTTCCTGTCTGACCACTCCTTCTGGGTCTGCTTTGCCAGATCCTCCTCTAGATCGTGCCCTCTGACTGTAAGGGTCCCTCAGGCTTCTGCCCTGGGGCCTCTTCTTTTCTCCCTACTTAACTTGGTGTTGGGCTCTCATGAGTTTAATTACCATGTCTATTCTGATGATTCTCAAATCTACTCAATCATACTCTAATCTCTGTCCTGACCTCCAATCTCAGGACTCCAACTGCCTTTTAGACATCTCCAATAGATGTCCAATAGATAGCTTAAATTTAACATGCCCAAAACTGAACTCATCTTTTCCCCAAACCCTTCCGTTTCCTAACTTCCCTATCACTGTATTGGGCAACACTATCCTTCTAGGCCCCTAGGCTAACAATCTGGAAATTATCCTTGACTCCTACTATCTTTCACCCCCTCTATCCAATCTTTTGCCAAGACCTGTGAATTTTACCTTTATGACAGCTCTCCAATAGTATCCCTTCTCTCCTCTGACACAGTCACCACTGTCACAGTCCCTCATCACCTCATGCCTGGCCCACTGAAATAGACTGCTGATAGATCTGCCTGCTTCAAGTCTCTCCACTCCAATACATTCAGCTGCCAAAGTGATTTTCTTATTTATTTATTTAGGCAATTGGGGTTAAGTGACTTGCCCAGGGTCACACAGCTAGTAAGTGTCAAGTGTTTGGTCTGAGGCCAGATTTGAACTCAGGTCCTCCTGACTACAAGGCTGGAGCTCTATCCACTGTACCACCTAGCTGCCCTGTGATTTTCTTAAAACCCAGCTCTGACCATGTCATTCCCCTTCTCAGTAAGCTCCAGTGGCTCTCTATAGCCTTCAGGATCAAATATAAAATCTTGCTTGGTGTTTAAAGTCTTTCATAAACTCTTACCACCCACTTGGTCTTCTTACACCTTACTCCTTGTTGTATATGCTTTGATCCAGTGACACTGGTCTCCTTGCCTATCTATGAAGAAGACCGTCCACTTCTCAGCTCTGGGTATTTTTACTGGCTATCCCCCATGCCTGGAATGCTCTTCCTCTTCATCTCCACCTCCAGGCTTCCCTGGATTCCTCCAAGTCCCAATTAAAATCCGATCTTCTATTGGATGTCTTTCCCAACTTCTCTTAATTCTACTGTCTTCCTTCTTTTAATCATTTCCTAGTTATCCTGTATATAGCTTGTTTGTTGTCTCCCCAATTAGGCTGTGAGCTCCTTAAGGGCAAGGACTGTCTTGTGCCTCTTTTTGTATCCCCAGTGCTTAGCACAATGCCTGGTACATAGTAGGTATTTAATAAATGCCTACTAACTGACTAACATCTTTGAGTTAACCTCAGTTTCCGCATTTGCTATGATTAAATGAGACGTGGGTAAAAGTCTTTGGAGAATAAAACATGTCTTAATGTCAAAGGTAAGATTATTTCAAATGACTATAAAAGATTCTAACCAGTGCAAATAAAGTTACAACAAAAAATCATTAAGGACACTGGGAATCAAACTGAAAGCTTTTTGACTCCTAGAAACTTCAACATATGTTTGATTCAATCAAGAACTGTAGCTCCAAGCTCTGAAAGACTTAAAATGTATCTATATTTTAAGTCACATAGCCAATCTATGATATTATAATACATGTATATAATAATAAGAACATACTAGGTACCTGGGTCATAGGTACAATGGAAAAAGGAATCACATTACTATTTCCCCCTAATTATTAGTGTTCTTCTCTCCCTCTTCCTCAAACAATCATCTATACTTCTTTGTTCAAATGGTATATCTTCCTAACTCCTTAAGAGCAGAGATTATGTTTTCATTTATTCTTTGTATCTCCTGTGCTTGGCAGCAAAGTCTTGCACAAAATACATAAATATTTAATGGAATGGATTGTTAAATTCACAATGGTTACTATTCCTTTTCCATATTTCACCTGAGGGCTATCTGTCCAAGTTTCCTTTGATCTACTTCTAGGTCCTAATGAATGTTCTGACAATGCAGACTACTAGTTGTAGTGATTCAGAACACAAACTTCACATTTATAATTGAGAAAAGTCCTTGAAGAATAGCTCTATATGCTATGGGGAAGAACACATATCAGAAAAACTTGGAATAAATTCCTTTACTTTAATTAACTAGGATCCTTTAGCATCTCCTAGTCTGTATTTTATGCATGTCTATATATACTACCTAACTCAGAATTTGAACTACAGGTACGGAAGAGGGAAAAAGCCTGGAGCTAATGGATGGAGCATCCTGTTTTGTGAATTGCCAAGAGGTCAGTGCCATTATATTGAAAAGTATTGAAAAGTATGTGGTGAAGTTAAGATGTAAGAAGACTGGAAATCCAAGAGAGGGCAAGGTTATAAAGGGCTTTGAATACCAAGTAGAGAATTTTGTATTTGATCCTAGAGGCAACAGGGAGCCACTGGGGTTTACTGAGCAGGGGGATGACATGATCAGTCATGGCAACCACTTCAGTGGCAAAATGGAGGATGGATTGGAATCGGGAGAGATCTGAGGCAGGTAGACCCACCAGCAGGCTATTACAATAGTCCAGGCATGAGGTGATGAGGCTTGCACTAGAGTGGTGGCAGCATCCAAGGAGAGAAGGGAGAATATTTGGGAGATGGTGAAGAACTGGCAAAGGTGAAATCAGTAGACCTTGGCAACAGATTGGACATGGGGAGGGGTGAAAAATAATGAGGAGACCAGTGTCACTCCTAGTTTGTGAGCCTGAGGGAATGGCATCGCCCTCTTTAATAATAGGGAAGGTAGGAGCAGGAGAGGGTTTGGGGAAAAGATAACGAGTGCCAGCCATGTACACATGTATGCTTAGGTTGTAACTCAAGTATTAGTGTACTTTAGAAGTACTTGTCCACTAAGAGGCAGTGGTTATTCCAAAAATATAGACAATATACATGAAATCTCTGTCACTTAAGAGATTATAAGGAATTTTAAAAAAACCTCCTAAGTCTTAGATCCTTCCATAGAATGAGAATTGCCAAGTTAAAAGAGGAATAAATGACTAGAGAGCCAGAGTTTTTCAAAGTTGTCTGAAAAAAAAAAGTTGGCAGGAAGTTAGCATAAACAGATGAGGAAAATGGGTAAGGAGGTTTGGGGAGGAAGAAGGGAATATTAGTCTTCTGAAGACTGAAAGGGATATCCTATGGACCTATTCCTCTACCATAAGAAAATCCTGGTATAGTAACATAAATTACAACGCTAGAATCCTATACCAAAAAAGAATAGCAAAGGAATGATCTTAAAATGAAAGGAAAGCTGTTTGCTATTGAATGTTGCTGTGCTTACCCAGTGAATAATACAAACCCATGTTCTAAGACATAGTAAACATTCTAGCGCTGTAGTCCCATCATCTCAGTAAATACTCACTATAATTTATATTATATGAATACTCTGATCTTCCTCTTCTCCATATATCATAGACATTTTAAAATGGTCACAGTCAAGATTTCATATACAGAATCCCTAATTAATATTCCAAAAGAAAGGGGCCAGAATAGAAAGAGCACTGGACCAAGAATCAGGAGACCTGAGTTCAAGTTCCATCTCTCTCACTAGCTATGTGACTGTTTCCTCAATCATAAAAAGAGAAGGTTGGACTCAATGACTAGATTATATTTCTTGCTATGCAAGCGTATATTATTGTATTCTTAATAAATATTTTCTGATGATGACAATTAAAAAAAAAACAGTGAGAACATCAGGAGAAGAATCCCAGAGCTGAGAAATCTTACCATCATGGCTTCTTGCACGGTAATATGAGGAAGCAGCATGTCATCTTGCATAATATAACATGATACCTTACGAAAGCAGCGGAGGTCCCGAGGCATTCCATTGATGAGAACTGACCCTTTCATCCCTGTCTCTCTAAAATTCCAACAAGGAAAGAAACCAGTCAGCCAAAACCTAAAATGATAAATACTCTTCCATTTTTCCTTCTGTCACCTAACACTGGAGAAAGAAGATAAGGTGAAAGGATCTTTCTAGATTTTTTTTTTGCTAGCTGCACCATATAAAGGAAACTAAATAGTTTAAAATGACAACTTAGTAACCTTCTATATTAGAAAATGAATAGCAAAGGATAATGAAGTCAAGCATACGGCTCATTATAAGATATAGTCAGTCTAATGAACTCTTCTTTTCCCACTAAGTAAATAAACAGATGTGTATGCACATGCTTTTAAATGTACCCCATGAGGATGAAATAGATACGCTCTAATTTTTATAATACTTTCTGTGAATGATTAAAATACATGATTCTATGTTCATGCCAAAAGTTAGACCCAAAGATTTCTCAGGAGCAGCAAGTCAGAGACAGCATGTGAAGATATGATGAATATTACTGAACTTAACTTGGGTCCAACTCTGAAAGCAAAAAGTGGCAGGAGCTTCACTGGTGCTTTGACAGTTTTAAAAAAAAAACCCAGTGAAGTAGCGGCTTGTATGTTTCAAACTGAGGCAACTAGGAATTCGCTATTCAGTATCATCTCCTAAATTTTATAGAGAGTAGGAAGATCTGAGATTCCACGAAACCAATCCAATTCTTGTTTTTATTCATATTTAGTATCTGAGTTGTTTAAATGTTCATTTTTCTTGTTATTCGGCATCCTTTTCATGTAATCATTAATATGTCATATTTCTTCTCTTAAAGAATTTGTTCACATCCTTTAACCATTTATCATCAGGAGAATGGCAGATTATGGATGCCAGGATTTTCTGAGATGTTTATTGCACCAATTTTTCCTAGTCTGTTTCTTTCCTTATTCTGTATGCTTTTAATTTTTATATAATTAGATCTCTGTTTTATCCTTCGATTGGGAGTCAGAGGACCTAGATTCAAACCATAACTGCTTCTTCTTACCTGTATGACCCTGAGTAAGCAATGTAAGCTTTCTAAGCCTTAGCTCATTAACAGAAAGAAAGAGATGGCCTAGATGACTTCTGAGGTCCCTTGCTATGATCCAAAAGCTATGATTCTCTAAGCCTTTTACAAATAGCTTTGCTCTAATTGTAGCATTCTTTGGAGTGAAGAATCCTTTGCATCAGGAAATGAACTTAATCCACCTTCTTTCTCATTAGCTCATGGTGAAGTGGAAAGATTTGGAAGCCAGAAGACTGAGGCTACAACCTTGGTTCTTCTAGTGACTACCTGGGAAGGCTTGGGCAAGTCACCTCTCTGGGTCTCAATTTCCTCATCTGTAAAATTAAGAAATTGGATATATGATTCTGAGGTTTCCTTCCAGCTTTCAACCTATGATCCAAGGATTCTATGAATATTTGTCCAATAAGTATAGAAAATGATACTTGTCAAATATACACATAACTGTATATAATGTAACTTTATTTTCTCCACTTAGGAAAAGGAACATTTGACCAAAAGGTAAGATATTGTATAGGGTGATAAGTGAAACAAGGTGTCCAAAAAGCCATAGTGTAGTTTTAAGCTATGTAAACTTTAATAGCTTAAATTAAAAGTTTATTATAACTTATGTATGATATATGATATATAATTATTATACAATCGAAAGCTTAAATAGCTTAAAACTGCACTAAGTCTTTTGGGACAGTGTATATTATGTAGTTTCAAGAACTTCACTTTGATTTTGAAGTGTGAATGCTACACACAGGAAAATGTCCTAAGTGATAACTTATGAACTTAATCAATATCGCCAAGCAATATACAAAGAAAAAAAGGAGAGAGGGAAGGTTATATGAAATTGTGAAGTTCTGTTTGACTTTTCTCCCACTATGTATATCTTAATGTTTTGTGTGTTTATATATCTATGTCTATATCTATAGTTAAGTCAATAAACATTTATTAAATCCCTACTGTGTGCCAGGTACTGCGCTCAGTGCTGGAAATAAAAAATGTAAGTTAAAAAAAAAAGACCATCCCTACCCACAAGTAGTTTACAATCTAATAGGGAAGACAATACACAAAAGGAAACTGAAAATCTGGAGAGGGGATGGGGAGGGGAGGAAGATAACTAGTATAAAGAGATGATGGAGAAGTCCAAAAGCAATGTAGCTGGTAGAAAATTGGGATAAGACTGTACCAAGCCCTTTTCTTAAATGGAGGTCCTGGAGCCTATAGCCCTACCTTCCAGTTAGAGTCCAATCAGAGGGGCAGAAAGTATTGATGACAAGTGACTATCAGTCAATTTCAATCTTGTAGGAAAATGAGATTTCTCAATGATAAGTCTCCTGAGGAAGTAAGGCATGATGAAGAGGTCCAAAGAAGTCCAAAAGTTCAGAATGGTTTTATTTGAATTTTTATCGCTAGTGATTTGGAATCTTTTTTCCATCTATTTGATAGCCTTCCTTTCTCCTTTTGAAAACTGCCTCTTCAAATAATCTGACCAACTGGGAAACGACTCTCCTAAGAATCTATTTTATCATTTCCCTATATATCTTGGATATCAGACTGTGTAATCTTAACTATGGCACCACAGTGTTTGAATGGCTTCTTTCTGGCTGCTGGAGTATTTTCTCTTTTACGTTTTCTAATCCAGGCCACCATGCCATGTCTTGTTTGTATACCATGATGTCTATACTTTAGCCTCTTACTCTTCCTACATACAGATGTCAGACTTTTCTTCCTGAGACAGAGTTCTGATTGATGAAATTTGATCTTATCTTTCCAGTCCCAGGTCCCCCAGGCCCAACACACAATTGCCCCCTTCCATGCTATGCAGCCTTCTCAACCACTTAGAAGTTAGATCCCAATGTCTGGGATCTTTATTTGTGATTGGTAAGCTTTCATCTTATCTTATCTAACTTGGGTATACCATACCATCTTCTGGACATCTCCATATTATGTTGCTACTCATAGTCAGTAAGTCTGTTGGTCAAAAAACATTGATTAAGTATTCAGTATGCTCTAGATACAGATATGCTAAATGCCGGGGATTCAAGCATACTTTCAAATACAACTTTCAAACTCCGACTTTGAAAACAGTAACAAAATTAACACTACATAACTGGAAAGGATATGTCAATCAATTGCCATTCTTTTCTGACTATCATTCTCCTATATGTATTGTTATCTATCATAAGTTTCTTAAAGTCAGAGATTGTCTTGATTGTATTTGTAACTCCACTACTTAGAAAAGTGACTAGAATATAAAAAGTACTTAATAAATGTTTCTTTATTCATCTGTAAATTACTTAAGGTAGTATCGTTATTTTTATTATATTGGCAGGGCCCAACCAAGACTAACTAATATTTTTTATCAGTATTCAGGCGTATCTTTGTTTCTGTAAAGTATTTTAGAAATTATATTCATTAAATCTGGGATGTGTTTTGTTAGCAGGACTTCCAGATATTTTATACATTCAGTAATCATTTTGATGGATTTATTTTTCTATACTTCCTGCCATGTTGTATGTTGAGAATGAACAAAAAGTGCAATGATCTTTGTATGTTTATTTTGTATACTGTTGCTTTGCTGAAATTAATAGTTTCAGTTAATTTTCAAAATAGATTTTATTGACATCTTTTATTTTTACATGACCTTCACCTCCTCATAATTGGTTCCCCCCCCCGAGCTATCTCTTACAAGAAAAAAAAATTCTTCAAGAGGAAAAAAATGAAAAAATTACATGAATCCAACGAACATATCAAAAAATAAATATGACATTATATGCATGCCCACCCCTATGAACTCCTCTTCTTTAAAGGAGGAGGGAAGAAGCATTTTTTTTCATACATCTTATTTGGAACTGTTAGTTCCTTATAATTTCACAGTATTCATTTTTTGTCATGTTGTGGTGGTTATTCGTTCCATTCACATTGTTGTAGTTGTTATGTATATTGTTTTCCTAGCAGTAGGATCTCTAGTTCAAAGTATATGGGCTTTTTAGTTACTTTTCATAATTATGTATTGCTTTCTGGAAAGGTTATATGAATCCAGAGCTTTATCAATAAGGCATTAATGTGCCTGTCTTTCAACAACCCATCGAATACTGCCTGTTCTCATTTTTTATTATCATTGCCATTTTCAATTAATTTTTTTAGCTGACTTCAGGGTGCCCTAAGTAAGTCATCATGTCATAGTAAAAAAAAAACCATATTTTTCCTCTTTGTCTATGCTTATTCCCGCAATTCTTTTTCTTATGTTGTTGCTATATTTAGCTATTCTAGCACTAAATCAAATAATGATGGCAATGAGCATCCTTGCTTTCTATGCTTCTAGCATTTTTAGATTACAGACAATGCTAGCTGTTCATTTTGTATAGATATGGTATTACTGACTACATTAAGGGATTATATGTTTATTCTTGTGCTTGCTAATGTTTTTAAACATAAGAAGATATATTTGGTCAAAGGTTTTTTACATCTATTAATATAATCAAGTGATTCTTAATTGTTTAGATATATGTGATATTTATAGTTTTTCTAATTAAAAAAATAGCTTTGCATTTTTGGCGTAACTCCAATCTTGGCACAGAGTTTAATCTTTTAATATATTGTTGCAGCCTAATCAGTAATAATTTATTCAATACTACTTTGCTAATATTCATTAGGACTACTGGTGTACAATTTTCTTTCTTTGGTTTTGGTATCAGGATGCACAACATTTTACTCATGGGAGGTTAGTGGGACATCTTCTTTTCCTATTTTCACAAATATTTTTATGTAATATTGCATATCTTTTCTTTGATAGAATTTATTTGTAAATTTATCTAGTACTGGGGACTTTTTTCCTTGGGAGATCCTTTATGGCTTAACTTTTTTCCCCCGAATTAGGTTATCAAAAAGTTCTTTCTTATTGTTAACCTGGACAGTCTATATTTTTGTGAAAATTCATCCATTTACTTTAGGCTTCCAATTTTGTTGGCATATATTTGGCACAATAATTTCTAATGATTTGAGCACAATATTTTCTAAAATTCTTTATTTCTTCTTCAATAGTTGTGACTTCGGCATTTCCATATTTGAGCTTTCCTTTATCATCAGAGTAACTGAGTATTTGTCTATTTAATTGGTTTTTTTAACCAGTTATTTTATTTATTCAATACAATGGCATTTTATTCCTTCAATTTGATTTTCAAAATTTCTCTTTTTTTTTGTATTTTGTTTGATTTTTTTAATTGTTGTTTTTCTATTTTTTTAAACGTATATGCCCAATTCATTGCTCTGTGTATTCTTCATTTGATGGGAGCATTTAGAAAAATAATTTTTCCCCTAAGGACTGCTTTGGCTATGTCCCAAAAGCACTGGTAGGTTGTTCCATTGTTGTTATGTTCTTTAATTAAATCATCTATTGTTTCATTATGTTTCACTTTTAATCTATCAATTATTTCAGGCTAAACTATTTAGTCACCAGTTATTTAAATCCTTTCTTTACTGACCATCTATGGATTACACATTTTATTATATTAAAGTCAGCAAAGGATATGTTAAATATATTGGCTTTCCTTCATTTGTTTATGGGGTTTTTAATGCCGTGTACATGGTCGATTTTTGTAATGGTGCCATCTATAGCTGTAAATATCTATATATTTCTGTCTATTCCTACTCAGTAATCACCAAAGGTTAATCATATCTAACTTCACTAACATTCTATTTAGGTTTTTAATTTCTTTCTAATTTATCTTTTTTTGTTGAATTTATATAAGTACAAAAGGAGAATATTGAGGTCCCCATTAGTTATAGTTTTGCTGTCTATTTTTCCCTGAAATTCAATTAACTTTTTCTTTATATACTTAGATACTATGCCAGTTGTTGTATATGTACTAAGTTTTCATATTATTCCATGATCTATAGTATCTTTAAGAATAATATAGTTTCCTTGCTTATTTCTTTTTATTCATGTCTATTTTCACAGTTACCTTCTCTGAGACCTTGGTTGTCACTTTTACTCTTTTAAAATTCATCTGACAGATTAAAAGTTATACGCTGGCCATTCTATTAACTCTGTATGCAGCTTTATGCTTCAAAAGCATTTGTTGTAAATAAAATAGTGCTGCATTCTGCTTTCTAATCCATTCCGCTACCTTCATTGTTTAATGGGAGAGATTACCGTCTCCTTCGTGTTCACTGCTCTAAGATCGTTAATTGTGTATTTTCCTCCTAACCTCTTACAATTTTTCTGCTTTCCATCCTTCCTTGCTCTTTACCAGAAAGAAAAGGGGTGGAGTGGTGGTGAAAAATTTGATCACTGTTATCAATCTATAATTGAACTAGACTCTTCCTGCTTTTCCACTTCTACTCTCTTTTCCCAAAACCTCGACCCTAATTTCTGGTTATTACACTTTTGTGTTCTTCTTTAATCCTCTGTGATCAGCCTTCAGATGTTGAAGTTTGCTTAGCTTGTGACTGTTGCATCCCCGACTCTCCCTCTTGTAGTACCCTCCCCTCTCCTGCCCTACCTGTATCTCTGCTAAGATTAATATATTTCAAAGCCAAATTCTATATGTATATGTCTTCAACCCTCCTTGATCCTTTTCAGAAAAGAGCAAGGTAATGAAATGCTTAATCCTTCATTTCCTCCATGTTTACATGTTCTTTCTTCTGTAACTCATTTATGAGATACGTTTCTCCCATTTCTTCCTCATTTCTTCTCTAGTATATTCCTTTCCACCCCGACTTTTATTTCTTCTCTTAAAATCTTCCCAAGAGAAAAAAAAATCACCCACATCTTGTCCTAACTCTTTCTCTGACCCTTCAAGATATTAGGATTCTGAAAGGACACTTGTCTTTTCTCCTCCAAATAGAATGTAATCATTTCATGAACACTGAGCCCCTTCCAAAGTGATCACAGGTTTCTCCTCACTTTTCTGTTTGCATTTCAAAGTTTCTACACATCTCTTGCCTTTTTATTGGGAATGCTTAAAATCATAATATTCTGTTATGCTCACTTTTGAAGGGTAAATAATTATTGGTGGTAAGCTCATCACATCTTTTGACTTTTGGAATATCACATTCCAAAGTTTTCTCTTATTTATTATAATAAATATAAATAAATATAAAAATAAAATTATAATATTTTCTGCATGATCCTGAGTCTGTCTGGTCCTTGTGTCCAAATAATTTTTTTTTTCCTACTGAGGTACTGCTTTGGGGGATTACTGTCTTTTTCTGGGCTTACCTTTTCACTTTCTCTACCCATAGTATTTCTTTATTGTGTTCAGGTTTTTTTCCCTTTTTATTTATAGTTCCTGCCTCATATTAGTTTGGGAAATTGTGCTTGGCCAGTTCCCTCTTGGATCAGATTAATAGGCCTTATTGGTAAAGTCCCCTCTTTAGTCCAGATACTGCCACCCCTGCTGCTGATCCAGATAAAATTGCTGGTATTAGGTAGTAAAACCTATCATAATCCCCCTATTTTGTCTTTTGAGGGTTTTGGCCTAGGCTGTACTTTATCTTCTTCTAATGTAATAACTAATGTGGTACTAGTCCCATGCTGGCAATCCTGACAAGCTCCATTAAAACGCTGGAGATCCCTCTGGTGTCTGGCTTGCTGCACAGCCCTCCTGCTTGTGTACGTACTGACTAAGCCCTAACTTCTGCAGTAGCTCCAAGTGCTTCCTAGCTATGACTCACGGGGGCTGGGTCTGTCTCCACTTCTGCTTTGACAATCCAGGTTGTTGAATGCTGGAGCTCACAGCTTTCAAATCCTCCTGCTCAAAAGTGCTGGTGGGCTTCAGGTCCATTTTAGGAAGCTCTCTCTGCCTCTTCTGACTTCCACAGTCCTCTCCCTGACTCTAATGACTTCTACATGTGCTTGAGCTAGCTCTCCTAATGAGACCTCTTTACCTATCTCTGTCTGTCTTTTTCATCTGCTTATTTTTTGTGCAACTTTGAATTACCTAGAGGAGTTTACTACCATTTCTCCTTGGTTTTCTCAAACACTGGCATTTCTAGAGTCACTTTCAGATATTTCCTAGAGTTTGTGGTACAACTTGGTTTCCTTTTGTCCTTAAATATAACAATCTTAACCTGAAATCTCTTCTATATTTTCAAATCTTAATTTAGAATAGTAAGGAGTTTCGTGTGTGTGTGTGTGTGTGTGTGTGTGTGTGTGTGTGTGTGTGTGTGTGTTTTAAATCCTGGGTCAAAGCTGTCAAGAGAAAGTAAATATTTCATATTTTGATTTTGTTCAACACATCTCATCCCAATTATTATAGTGTTAACAAATTGACTCTATGATAACTATTGTTGTTAAGTCATTTTTCAGTCATGTCTGACTCATGATGACTCTATTTGGGGTTTTCTTGGCAAAGATAATGGAGTGTTTTGCCATTTCTTCCTCCAGCTCATTGTACAGATGAGAAAGTGAGGCAAGCAGATTAAGTGGTTTCTGAGGCCATATTTTAACTCAGGAAGATATTTTCCTGACTCTCTAGACCTATACCACCTAGCTGCCCTTGTGGTAATTACCATACTTAACTGAAAACTTGGCATAAGATAATATAATTCAATACTTCTGAAGCCAGTTTTCCATTTGGAAAAATATTGGTGATTTTGATTTCCTTAATTCTACACAACTACAATTAATAATGCTAACACTGATGGAGTACTTAAAGATATACAAAATGCTTAATATGATCTGATTCTGGTTTTTTTTTTAAATTACAAATAAAAGCTACAGAAATCATCAGTTTCAAACAAAGTATTCCATCTACTGATTTGGAGAGAGGAAGGAAGGAAGGAAGAAGGAAGGAAGGAAGGAAGGAAGGAAGGAAGGAAGGAAGGAAAGAAAGAAGGAAAAGAAGGAGGGAGGGAGAAAATAAGCATTTATTAAATAGCTAATATAAGCCAACCACTGTGTTATGTGCTTTACAAATATTATCTCATTTGATCCTCACAACAACTTTAGGAGATAGATACTATTGTTATTTGATTTTATAGTTGAGGAAACTGAGGTTAAATGACTTGCCCAGGGTCACAAGTCTAGTAAGTGTTGAAGAACAGATTTGAACTCAGGTCTTCCTGACTTTCAGGCCCACTGCACTACCTAGCAGCTCCTAAAACATCTTGTCCTTCAGTGCTTCTTTACTTTTGTTTCCATTGGTAACTCTCATCTTCACAATGGGCCCCAAGCCATTATAACACTTACTCATTCTTCAAATGTTAAGGCCAGGCTAAGTCCTTCCTTACTGAGTCATAGATTCTAGGATTAAAAGGGATCTTAAAGATCATGTTGTCCAACCTCTTCATTTTACAAGCAAGATAACTGCCCACAATAGATAAGTATCAGAGACAGGATTTGTACTAATGATAGGATGTGAAAACCAGTGTTCTTTCTCCTCCACCAAGTTTCTCCTTGAAGCTTTCTAATACACAAGGAAATCACCTTCCCCTGAACTCAGGGCACTTACATTTAACATATACCACATACTTATCTCATTATTAGTATTATTTTATTTTTCATTTATACAGGTCCTGCTTATTTAACTCAAGGGTGACCTTACTAAAGGCAGGCTTAGCTCTCTGTATCTCCTATAGCAAGGTTTCTTAAACTTTTTTCCATTAGCAACCCCTTCAGAACTTTTTAAACTGTTGGTTGCGGCCCCATATAGGGTTGGGCCCATAGCACCTAGAGTAGCAGTTTTCTAACACTTAATCAATGGCAATAGGTGTTCATTTGCAATGGACTGAAAGCCCTTGCACTCTTGCTTTTCCTTTTAGTCACCTGTATCCTGCCAGGATGTTCATGAGTGTTGATTTTCCAGCTCCAGAAGGACCCATGATTGCAACAAGTTCTCCACTGCTGAATTTCCCTGAAATTCCTTTCAAAAGAGTCTTGTATCCTAAAAAAACAGTAGGTCAATATTTTATTATCTCTAAGACACAATACAAATTTACTTTCAACTCCCATATGTGCAAACACATACACAGAGTAAAACTGACACACATCATATGAGATTACATAAATCTAGTAATTAACTCCAGGCATAAAATCAATACTTCCCAATGCCACTGGCACCATGGTTTCAGCAACAATATGGACACTGTGATTTCTTAAAGTCTATTTATTATTTTTTTCATTGGAATTTCAGTGGTATAAAAGTGCTCTAAAACCTTTCATTTTAAAGGAATTTATCATGATCCTGTAGAAAATTCCTCTTGGGTTCATATGAAATTTCAACCCAAAACTATCTTAGAGGAAATATTGGAGGAAGGTGATAAAGAAAATCACATTATCTAGGACTGTATTGATTTTGTTAAATAAATAATCTGAAAATTTGTTTAAAGGTTAAAATGAAAGCCATAGAATTTAAAGGCAAAATTTTTAGGTTCAGAGTCCTTGCAGAATACAGTATCACTTCAGAAAGTATACTTAAATATCCAAGATTCACAATAATACATTCAACTCCCATATTTAATGAGATTCATCCAAACGGTCATAAAAGGAACATGTAGATTTTTGGGAACTCATAAAATATTTTTTTTCCAGACTCTCCCAATAATGTCTCCCACTTTTTTGTGTTCCAAAGACAAAATAAAAAAAAGAAAGAAAATAATGAGATAACCGTAATAATAATACACACTTGTTTAGTACTTTAAAGTTGTCAAAGTTCTTTCCTCACAGCAATCCTGTGAGGGAGGTATTACAAGTATTATATTAACCCCATTTTGTCAGTAGGAAACTGAACGTGACAGTGCTTAAAGGCCACATCACTAATAAATATCAGCTCTAGTATTAGAACCCAGATCTCTTCTAATTATAAAGCCAAACATCTTTCCTCAGGATCTTTAACCTCCTATTGTTCTTACATATTCTAGAAAGTAGTCCTTAGTTGTATTTCACAGCCATTTCTTTCCATTCCACTTTTTTTTTTCAGGCACAGTCCTATTTTGAAGAGAAGTCCCCAGGATCTTGCTTAAGAGATATTATAAGGGGTGGAAATAAAAGACAAAGAACTGCTACTGTAATACTGACTCATTACTGAGACTAAGTGCTACCTGGGGGAACAAAGATCAGTTAGCATTATGAGATAGGAAAAAGTATAAGAAAGAGAGAGCCTAAAACCACTATGAGTTGCTAAGAACTAAGTGCATGCCCTTACTTATTAAATGATAACATAATAATGTAAATATGAGCTAGGTTCCTACTCTCTTATTGGTAGGATATTAGTCAGGATTCAAAGCTCTGTTAACAGGGTTAATCAGATTCAGTGATTCCAGAAGGAAAGTTCCACAAACAGACTGGTTAACTCACAAAGCACACTTTTATAGTCAATAGCTTTTACAAACTAGCCTGAAGTTCTTTTAATAGGTCTCCCTGTCGCTCCCACTGAGTGAGGAGAAAAAGTCCTATATCCAGAGCTATAATACGATATCAGGAAAATCGTGCTACCTCTGTGGGTCTTAAGAAATCTTATCAACGCTTTGGCCTACCATGTTTACAGAGAATCTCTGTTGAAGCCTGTTACCCAACTCCTTACAGAAAGGTGATGGACTCAAAGTAAAGGAAAAAATATATATATTGTTGGATATTATCGCTATGTGGATTCATTTTGCTTCATTATGCTTATTTGTTACAAAGATTTTACCCCACCCCCCAATTTTTGATTGGGACAAGATTGAGGGGCGTGTAAGAGTAGTAACAGTAATACAAATAAGAGGGCCACTGAAACATATTTTCTTTTTATTATGCACAGAAAATAACAGAGAGATGTTTATAAGAAAGCATAGAGAAGTGGACAGATTAGAAAGTAAAGAAGAATTTGTTATATACTTTTAAACAAGTAGTATGAAAAACAGATTTATGATCTCATATAAAGTGCATTTTGTGTTCTGTACTAAAGATGAAAATGTTCTTCTGGGGGGGCATTTAAGTTCAAAATAAAAAAATAAATTAAAAACATTTAAAATTGCTATTACAATCAGACAGCAAAGTGAAAATAGAAAGATCCCACTAGTAGCCTCTTGAAAGAAACACCAAAATGAAAACTCCCAGGAACATCATAGCCAAAATCGGGAGCTTTAAGGTCAAAGAAAAAATAGCATCATCAGTCAGAAAGAAAGAGTTTAAGTACCAAGAATCCACAGACAAATCAGACAAGACTTGGCAATTATAAAGGAAGGGAAAACTTGAAATATGATATTCCAGCAGCCAAAAGATAAAGGCTTACAACTAAGAAAAACTTACCCAGAAAAACTTAAGTATAATCTCAGGGGAGAAGAGGAGGAGGGAGAGAATGGGAAGGGAGGGAGAATGGATCTTTAATAAAATAGAGTACTTCTAAGTAGTGTTGTTGCAAAACTGAATGGATACTTTGAAATGCGAACACAGGAAATATAGAAAAGTAAAATCCATTTGAGTAACTAGGAATTTATGATGATGAAATGTTTATAACATAGTAGGCAGAAAAGAAACAAGGCTCTCCTCAGAACCCTGTTTTAAAAGGTCATAGAGAGGGCCTGGGAACAGTTTAAGGAAAAAAAATACATTAGAAAAGAAAGAGTGGTTGAACTTCATTCACTTAATCACAGACATGAAAAGAAGACTACATAAACCTTCAGGAAGAGTTTGGGGAACGGGCTAAACATGAACTTCCTCTTCATGAGAGCTGGACAAAGGACAGTTGACTATATACACACAATAGAATGGTGTAGAAATACGTTAAATGGGAAAGGGAATAAGGGATGAAGGAGGTTATATTCTAGGAGGAATTAGTTATCAGCAAAACAAAATCCATCTTCAGACAATAAAAGGGAAAATCAAAGGAAAGAAAGGGTAAGAATCTGTGACTGGGAACTGGGCAGGGTAAAGAGAACTGGAATATTGCAATGGAAGCAGATTGCATAAAATATAGATCACTAGGACTGAGCACACGCTTCTCCTGTAAAGAAAAAGAGTAAAAACAAAAACAATAGGGAATGTAACTAAAAAAACCTAAAAAACAACAAATATAAAAACTTCAACTAGAGACCGCTGAAATTAAAAGCAAAAACTTTTGAACTGATAAAACTACAGGTTATTTTAAAAAATAAAACCAATAAAATAAATAAACCATTGGCTAGCCTCCTCAAGAGGTGAGCAGGGTGATTGTGGAGGAGGGCACCCAGCTGTCCATATGAAAAATGAATTTAGATAAATCACACAAAATGAAAACAAAATAAAGGAAATTATTTTTAAAAAACTATTTGGTCCAATGATACCGCACCCCCAAAAGCTGAAAATTTAAATAAAATAGATGAATAGCTACAAAAAATATTAAATACCCAGATTATCATAAGAAATAAATAAGCAATCCACTTTTAAAAAGAGAAATTAAGCAAACTATAAATGAGCTTCCAAAAGAGGAAAAGAAAAACTCTAAAAGTACATGATATTACAATAAATTCTATCAAACATTCAAAGAATAATTGATTCCTATGTTACATAAACTGTTTGCAAAAATAGGAAAAGAAGAAATTCTGTCAATTCCTCCTAAGACACAAATATGGCCCAAACCAAGGAGACAAATTAGAGAAAAATCTATAGACCAACATTTCTAAGAAATATAAATATACATTTTAAATAAAATATTAGTGAATACACTATAGCAACATATCAAAAAAATTAACTACATATTATGACAAGGTATAACAAGCTAGGGATACAAGGTTGGTTCAATACAGGAAAATTATAAATATACACATTATTAGTAAAAAGCACAAAATCACTTGATTATATCAAGAGATGTAGGGAAAAAAAGCTATTGACAGATAGTTCCATTAAAGACATTAAAAAGCATAGAAATAAATGGACCTTTCCTTTATTTAAGTAGTATCTATCTAAAACCAAGAGCCTTTCCAGGCTACACTGTTGACCTATACCCATAGGACTTTCTCAACTATGCCATAGAAACCTTTTCATCCTAGTAGATCACTGCAGCCCTGGACAGCTCACATTGGTACACCTCTGACTCTTCTCCATAGGATTTTCTCTGAAATACCATAGAAATCTCTTTACCCTAGAAGCTCACTCTACCCCTCACTACTTCTTACATTACAAGTATCATCTCACTCTGAGGTCTCTCCCTCTGATTGGCTGGTTGCTATCAGAACCTCCCTTTTAAGGAGGAAACCCAGGTCAGCCATGTTTTAATTCCTCCCAAGGCTGCACTGTTAATAATTCACTGGACTTTCTTTTCCTTGTCCCAATATACCTATTTAGACCAAAATTTCCTATCATAGACCACATGCCTGTTCTGAATACCTTCACTCCCCCCTCCCTAGTTCCCAGACATTTTTTATGGATTGTCTTCCCCATTAGAATATAAAACTCCTGAACTAGAAGTAGAATAGGAAAATATATACTGTATCCATAATAGAATACATAGAAAGAATAATAAAATGAAGGCGGGAACTATATTTTACTCAGCTTGCATTTGTATTCTCAGCACTTAGCACAGTACCTAGAACACAATAAAGTGCTTAATAAATGCTTGTTGATGATTTGACTTGAGAAGAGTTGGCATTATATGTAATTGAGATAAGCCAGAAGCCTTTTCAATAAGATGGGGAAAGTAAAGCAAATAGATCTATTATCACCTCTATTATTCAACATGTTGAATGCTAGGTATAACAATAATAAGAGAAAAAGAAATTGAGAAAATAAACGGAGACAAGGAGGAAACAAAACTATTTTTTAAATAAAATATTATTGTCTCCATAAAGAACCCGAGAGTCAAGTAAACGTTAAATTGAAACAATAATTCTGACAAAGTAAAAAGATATAAAATAAAACCCATACAAATCATTAGCCTTTCTATATGTTAAAAATGAAATCCAGCAAAAAGAAAGAGAAAGAGAAGTT